TGTGGCAGTAATGCTCTTACTTGCCTTCCATTCATGTTCTTGGGAGATAACACTAGATTTGTAACATGCTGTCAATGTATACTAATCGGAGTCGGAGTCAGGTGTGGAAGATGCGACAGCTGGTCCGTCCTCGGGTCCGCGAGTTAGAATACCCAGAACCACGCTTGCCAGCTGTGATCTTATGTACAAATACCCTTACACTGTCTGAATTTTCCGATTTATAATCCGATTTACTATATGCTTTAACCTTGCGAAATTCACAATTGAATTTTCTTATATTCAAACTGTCGAGAGTATGCGAGTCGTTACCACAGGGACACGTCACATTTAAACGAGCGTCACAATAAAGTAAAACCTCCATATGATGCGACTTGTCTCATTTGCCTCCACGCTTACCGACACATAGAATACCTTTATATGTTTCCCACAATTTATCGCCAAACCCCTTTACAACGTTAAAATGTATCTTGACAAATGGCGGTAGTATACCTGGCGCCCTTTTATGTTATATTTTCTTGTTTTCCGGTCTCATTCGATCTATTTAATTATTTTTATTGCAAAATGTGAAGAAAAAAACAAGCGATTTTAATCGAAGCATATACTTTTTTTGGAGAAATGTTCCGCAGAACTATTGTGTTTGATTTTTATAACTATCATAATAAAAGCGTACCTTACGCGTTTAGAATAAGGTGTCAGATCACATGTCATTACTGTTGATAAAATAAGTCACGTGACATGATGCGACAAGCGAAATAGATTAGATTAACGCAGTATGTACAAAGATTTCTGACATTTTCTTAGACAGCATGCAGGAATTAAACTGAACCCGAGCTCTCTTCTAATGAATCTGACTTCATATTTTAGTTTTTTATACCGGAGACGCGCAGAGCTATGTATTCGCCTGATGACTTTCGTAACTATCACTTCATTTAGATACTTTCGCGTATTTCTCTTAATCCAGGATTTCCTTAAAAACTATTAAGGATGTGTTTTTTCCATTTGTGTCTAATGAGGACAGGAGCGGAAGTTTGACATACTTAACGTTGCCTCACCTGTGATTTACTGGGCTACCTGATACAGTAATGACGGTTCTGTTACGACTCCAAAAGGGCACACACCACTAGATAATACGACCTGGAAAACATGTCCTCAGTAATGACGTGATCTCCAGTGTCCACATCATTAAAGTACGCGCCCCAATTAGTGGCACGCGCGACACAGTATAAATGTACTACATCTTACAATTGTAGAAAAAAATGCTTGGAATTTTCTTAAAATGAGTACAAGAGGCTCAAATGGCCTGTGTTACTCACCTGGATAATGGTATATATGGTTATGGGTTGGGGATCTGAACTTTTTTTTTACAGTTATGGTCCAGAAATTTAGTCCCTAGGGCCGGGACCATAACCCAGGGTCAATTCTAATATATGTCTGAGTTTATCTTTTTATGCCTATGAAATATATATATGGTTATGGGATGGGCTCCGGGTTTGAATCCCATTCTGGTTCCATTGTATTTTCACTCTCTTGTTACAGTGTACTTCCTCTTTTGCTATGTTGATTATTGTGACAGAGCATGTTTGTAGTAAGTGTTCTTGGCAAGGGCATATCCAAGCCTGGGACGAACAAGGGCATATCCAAGCCTGGGACAACAAGGGAATATCCAAGCCTGGGACAACAAGGGCATATCCAGGCCTGGGACAACAAGGGCATATCCAAGCCTGGCACAACAAGGGCATATCCAAGCCTGGGACAACAATGGCATATCCAAGCCTGGGACAATAAGGGCATATCCAAGCCTGGGACAACAAGGGCATATCCAAGCATTGGACAACAAGGGCATACCCAAGCCTGGGACAACAAGGGCATATCCAGGCCTGGGACAACAAGGGCATATCCAAGCCTGGGACAACAAGGGCATGTCCAAGCCTGGGACAACAAGGGCATATCCAAGCCTGGGACAACAATGGCATATCCAAGCCTGGGACAACAAGGGCAGATCCAAGCCAGGGACAACAAGGGCAGATCAAAGCCAGGGACAACAAGGGCAGATCCAAGCCAGGGACAACAAGGGCAGATCCAAGCCTGGGACAACAAGGGTATATCCAAGCCTGGGTTAGAAATAATGTTGTCTTCGTGGACAAAGGCTTGAGAAAAGGAGGGATGTGTTTAGCGTGACTGGGCAAGGTGACCGTCAGTGATCAGGTAGTTCAGTAGTTTAGAACTTGCATACCGAGGTCCTGGGTTCAATTCACAGTCTGGCTACAGAGCACGTTCCCTCTCCTGTTATACTGTCGTGACACCTTCCATTAAGTACAATATCTGATAAATGTGGTATATGGAAGTACATAAACGAGGTTATTTGCTTTTCTCTATATCTATTACAGCATTATAAAATCTCAAAAATAGTCACTTTCATGACATTTATCAGAGCTGAAGAAGTTAATGGCATTACATAGTGCCTTCATACAGGAGCTTGGAATAACAACACAAGAGAGGTGATCAAATAGACTTTTTGCTACTTAAATCAATCCATTAAAAGTAAGCTCAAACCTCTCATTTCGATGTTTCTCTGATTTTTAATCATGATCTGTGGTCTTCGTCCGAACAAGCCGATACTAAAAATCACTTACATTTAAATCGTATTCGTTTCTAGCATTACTTTGAGAGGAGAGGCAACCATAAATTCAAGTTTCTTTCAAAAGTGCTGTCTTTCCTTTCACAAATTCAAATCCTCAATCTAACTCAAAATGGTAGAACAATCTCTTATCTTTGTATTTGTAAAATTCAACTATTGTTTACAGATCATAACAGAGGGATGGACATGTTAAATATCCCATCTTGTCCATTTGTGTACAACTGAATTGACTGGTCAATTGTAGTCTCTGAATCACAATGGCTTGGTACCATGGATCAACAAAAGAGGGTTGATTGAACTCGATCCTATTTATTGCTCATAATGAATATTGTATAAAGGGAAATAACTCTGACATAAAGGTTTGCATCCCTCACCACAATACAAGGATAGATTCCTTTCATAGCAGTATGTTTTACTTCTTAATGAGACAGTAAGGACACCTTCTAATTGGTCAGTATTTAACCAAAGTACAAGGGGAAAGCTATTTAATTTTTTGGAAGCATTTTTTCCCCTTTACAACCGTGATCGATCACATTGAATTTCTAAACACAGAAAATCAGCTCTCTTTTTTTAAGTCCTTGAATGATTGTACATTTTAAACATATTTTCAATAAACCCTTTAAATCTAATTTTTCTACCCCTTGATAACTTTTAAACCCATTGTAAAACTTTATTTTTTCTACCCCCTGATCACTTTTAAACCCCAATGTAAAACTTTATTTTTTCTACCATTTGATCACTTTTAAACCCCATTGTAAACCTTTATTTTTCCATCACCTGATCACTTTTAAACCCCAATGTAAAACTTTATTTTTTCCACCACCTGATCACTTTTAAACCCCATTGTAAAACTTTATTTTTCTACCACCTGATCACTTTTAAATCCCATTGTAAAACTTTATTTTTCTACCACTTGATCACTTTTAAACCCCATTGTAAAACTTTATTTTTCTACCACTTGATCACTTTTAAATCCCATTGTAAAACTTTACTTTTCTACCACCTGATCACTTTTAAACCCCATTGTAAAACTTTATTTTTATCAACCTGCTGCTGATCTTTTTTTCATATTTATATGCAGCCTGGCATTTAAAACTGTCAAGAGGATTGAAATATAATGACAAGTGTTCTATTTCTCTACTTCCGGCACAAAGCTTCTGGGCGGGGGTACATACTATGATAAACCAAATAATGTGGCCGCAGATTTCTAGCATGAGTAGTCTCCCCTCCCATATCCTGTACTTTATGCAATGTAGGCAACACAACACATAACAAAAACACTCAATGGGAGTACTCAACTGTCTGTATTACAGCCTTCATACATTTATACAATAACTATTTTTATATTTTAAACAGGAGATGATTTTGGTTAATTATTTTTCATTGTAATTGAAGATATCAAGCGTGTGTCAAACTAGCACATGTGACTTGTCAGTTTTATAAGGTACATGTCAAAAGCCTGTTTTACAATTTATTGACAGTAACAGTCGTCTCTGTAACAGGCTTACACAACTTTTACCAGTTAAAATCATCATACTATTTACCAGTTACATTGATCATTGTTTTACACTTACAGACCTTGAACCAGTAACATTGATCATTGTGTTACACTTACAGAACTTGAACCAGTTACATTGATCATTGTGTTACACTTTCAAACCTTGAACCATTCACATTGATCATTGTGTTACACTAACAGAACTGAACCAGTTACATTGATCATTTTGTTACACTTTCAGACCTTGAACCATTCACATTGATCATTGTGTTACACTAACAGAACTGAACCGGTTACATTGATCATTTTGTTACACTTTCAAACCTTGAACCATTCACATTGATCATTGTGTTACACTAACAGAACTGAACCAGTTACATTGATCTTTGTCTTACAATTACAGAACTTGAACCAGTTACCATGATCGATGTGTTACACTTATAGAACTGAACCAGTTATATTGATCATTGTGTAACACTTACAGAACTGAATTAGTTACATTGATCATTGTGTTACATTTACAGAACTTGAAACATTCACTGCCATCACAGTTAAAGGTTTACAAAACTTTTACTAGTTACAAAACTGAACCAGTAACATTGATCATTGTGTTACACTTACAGAACTGAACCAGTTACATTGATCATTGTGTTACATTTACAGAACTTGAACCAGTTACATTGTTCATTGTGTTACACTTACAGAACTGAATTAGTTACATTGACCATTGTGTTACACTTACAGAACTGAACCATTCACATTGATCATTGTGTTACACTTACAAAACTGAACCAGTTACATTGATCAGTTTGTGACACTTACAGAACTGAACCAGTTACATTGACCTTTGTCTTACAATTACAGAACTTGAACCAGTTACCATGATCGATGTGTGACACTTATAGAACTGAACCAGTTATATTGATCATTGTTTTACACTACAGAACTTGAACCAGTTACATTGATCATTGTGTTACACTTACAGAACTGAATTAGTTACATTGATCATTGTGTTACACTTACAGAACTTGAACCATTCACTGCCATCACAGTTAAAGGTTTACAAAACTTTTACTAGTTATATTCAACACCCTCCTAAGAACATACATTAATCATTTTTCAGATGGCTTTCGGAATTTCTTCTGCACAATGCTTGTAATTTTTCTTTTAATGTTTGCGTTCACATTTTCAAGTTCTGCTGATTTTCTTGCTGCCGTCTACAACAACAGAAAATAACAGTCTCAAAATTGATACCGTATATAACCGACAGTAAGTACATTCTTTTACAATGCTATCTATCTTTTTGCTTACTGTCTCAAATTAACAGTATTTAGAACAAAAAGAGACTAATCTAGTCCCTTGATAATATCACAGAAAAATTAAAAAAAATCTCCTTCAATATCCTTCTGTAATACATTTGTATAAATACTTGTCTTTTTATGTTGATGAGGCCTAAGCAGCTGTCTCCTTCCTGAAGTCATTACCTACCTCAATATTCCAAATCAACTTGACGTCCCACTTTTGTGTGGCAAAGCTGACGACACGACCACCGTCCTTGGACCCTACACGTCCTACCCGCCCCGAACGGTGAATGTAGTCAGATACATATGAAGGCAGGTCAAAGTTAATCACCAGCTGTACCTGAAAGGTAAATTACATACATAGGTAATTAACTACATGTAGATGATGATTGCTTCATTATCACCTGAAAGGTAAATTACATAAATAGGTAATTAACTACAGGTAGATGATGATTGCTTCCTCACCTGAAAGGTAATTTACATACATAGGTAATTAACTACATGTAGATGATGATTGCTTCCTCACCTAAAAGGTAAATTACATACATAGGTAATTAACTACATGTAGATGATGATTGCCATCTCACCTGAAAGGTAAATTACATACATAGGTAATTAACTACATGTAGATGATGATTGCTTCCTCACCTGAAAGGTCATTTACATATATAGGTAATTAACTATGTGTAGACGATGATTGCTTCCTCACCTAAAAGGTAAATTACATACATAGGTAATTAACTATGTGTAGATGATGATTGCTTCATCACCTGAAAGGTAAATTACATACATAGGTAATTAACTACGTATAGATGATGATTGCTTCCTCACATGAAAGGTAAATTACATAAATAGGTAATTATCTACACGTAGATGATTATTGCTTCATCACCTAAAAGGTAATTTACATACATAGGTAATTATCTACATATAGATGATTATTGCTTTCTCACCTGAAAGGTAAATTACATACATAGGTAATTAACTACATGTAGATGATGATTGATTCCTCACCTGAAAGGTAAATTACATACATAGGTAACTATCTACATGTAGATGATGATTGCTTCATCACCTGAAAGGTAAATTACATATATAGGTAATTAACTACTGGCAGTGGATTATTAATTCATCACCTGAAAGGTAAATTACAATTTTACAAAATTGGGGAATAACTGCAGCAAAAAAATCTGGTATTCTTTATGCTAACAGGGAGCATGCACCTTTCAGTTTACAAAACAGATTTTAAATCTAGATATTCACCCATTCATCCTTTCTTATTGAGAAGTCTTCATGTATCCTGTTTCCCATACTGGGATAGGCAATCAAAATAGTATAGAGATAGATATCATAATTAATACAACACTGACTGTGAATAAAATAATACACACCCTGAACAAATATGTGATGTTGAAACAAATATCCTGACTGTGGATGTCATAATGATTACATACCCTGAGTGTGTCCAGACCTCGAGAACAGATGTCGGTACACACAAAAATATCAGCAGCTTCATTCTGGAAATTAGCAAATTTGCCGCTCCTCAGCTGAAACACAGACAAAAAACACTTCTGCACCATGCCCTTTTCCCAAGTCTCTACTACATCCATTCAGGATTTGTTCACAGATAAATTTGCAAATTATTGGAATTTTTTAGTGTTAAAACATATGTGTATTTTAATAGTGGTTGTTGAAACATCTGTGTATTTTAATGGTCATTGTTAAAACGTTTGTGTATTTTAATGGTGCTTGTTAAAACATTTGTGTATTTCAATGGTGCTTGTTAAAACTTTTGTATATTTTAATGGTGCTTGTTAAAACATTTGTGTATTTTAATGGTGCTTGTTAAAACATTTGTTTATTTTAATGGTGGTCGTTAAAACATTTGTGTATTTTAATGGTGGTTATTAAAACATTTTTGTATTTAAGAACTAGTAAATATGCCTTCATTATAGTAGCTTCAACATCATCTTTGACAAGTTAGACAAAATATTCCATAACAAACAACAAATTAAATTAGAAGTACTGACCTTGCGGTCCATTTGAGCATTGAGAACAATGTTGTGGATGCCATGCTCCTTCAGTAACTTGTGGACCCAGAAGCACGTGTCACTTTTGTTACAGAAAATCATGGTCGGAATGCTGTTAGCCAGACTTTCCTTTGCCAGCCTCAGTATCTCATCTGTCAGAATCAAATTGATAATGTGTATTTAAGGGTTATTCTGGAATCATTACAGGAAGTGTCGGACACAAATCACTAAATAGCTAACATACACATAAAGAATGTCTAACAAGTGATGATTATAATTTACTTGAAAGATATAAATCATGCCAAAAGATCACAAGTTTGAGATTTTATTTCTCCCAAAACTCTAATGTTTTCAGGCATTGTAACATTCATGCAATATGATGGTATTTTAATTCTGAAATTATCAGAAAAGTTAACAGCAAGCTGGGAGTGATGAAACATATAGTTATGGAAGATATCACTCTACAAAACCTAAACTATAAACCCTGAAATATATACATTACACGACTAGTGATGCCTTACCAGCCTTCTGTTCATGATGGAGGCGCATAAATGTATGAGGAACATGTGGTAACAGGCGATGTAGGCTCTCAGTCTTTATTCTTTGGAAAGATTCAATCTGAAATAAACAATCCAGCAAAAAAAATCAGACATAAAGATAGAGAAGTCTTTATTTATTTACGTATAAGTCTATACCAGCGCCTTAGAGTAACTTTGCAAATTAGATAAGGCAATATATTAATGTTATATATTATTATTACCAATTGGATACAGAAATGAAATAAAACACTTGAGGTCATTATTATAGCTCACAAGTACTTTCACCCATCTTGGGGCTCTTCAGGTGATTTTATTTTATTAACAGTACATTTTTAACTACATATTCAATTTCATTTTCTGTCTTTTTTTTCCAATTATATTTATAGTTTTGTATATATTTGTTTGAAATACAAATGTAAATTGCATCAAAAGTACTTGCAAGAAATTGTCTTCAAGTGTTTAATTTTATTTCAACATGTAGCTCTATAGTCACAAGAATGTTTCAATATTCATACCCACCAGATAAATATACATTACCCATAAAAAGGATCGGCATGTCAATAATAAAGTGTACTTCCAAGATATATATTAAGGTATTCACCTTTACCAACAAAATATATATAAATTACGTATCAAAATTAAGCCATTGGTCTTATTTTTAATGCTTTATATTATACTTCAATAAACATGGTCAACAGGGAAGGAATTGAGACTATGCCCAAGTTTTGGGTCCTAACTGCCATAGTCATACAGGATAATAGAGTCTATAGAGTCTAGTTGGACTAGAGTTACCTGCCCTTACTATGACACAGTCCTGACAGATGGATGTCCCGACTCTAGTTGGACTAGAGTTATCTGCCCTTACTATGACACAGTCCTGACAGATGGGAGTCAAGACTCTAGTTGGACTAGAGTTACCTGCCCTTACTATGACACAGTACTGACAGACAGGAGTCCCGACTCTAGTTGAACTAGAGTTACCTGCCCTTATTATGACACAGTCCTGACAGATGGGAGTTCAGACTCTAGTTGGACTAGAGTTACCTGCCCTTACTATGACACAGTCCTGACAGATGGGAGTCCCGACTCTAGTTGGACTAGAGTCACCTGCCCTTACTATGACACAGTCCTGAGAGATGGGAGTCCAGACTCTAGTTGGACTACAGTAACCTGCCCTTACTATGACACAGTCCTGAGAGATGGGAGTCCAGACTCTAGTTGGACTACAGCTACCTGCCCTTAATATGACACAGTCCTGACAGACAGGAGTCCCGACTCTAGTTGGACTAAAGCTACCTGCCTTTACTATGACACAGTCCTGACAGATGGGAGTCCCGACTCTAGTTGGACTAGAGTAACCTGCCCTTACTATGACACAGTCCTGAGAGATGGGAGTCCAGACTCTAGTTGGACTACAGTAACCTGCCCTTACTATGACACAGTCCTGACAGATGGAGTCCAGACTAGGCTAGAATCCCATTCTCTTAACTAAGTATGATCCAGAATGAAGGAGTCCTATGCGACAACATATCAGTCCTTACATCTCCATGATCTAAAAAGATTGCACTGTACAATTAGAGTTATCTACCCTTACCTCAACATGGGACCAGGGAAATCTCCACATACCTCAATAAAGTCCTCAAGGATGCTATCCAGACTGCGTGGCATGGTGGCACTGATCAGGAGCAACTGGGTCCCAGACATCACATACGGTTGGTCATCTGTTGTCAGAGCACTAGATGCACTGGGTACAATAATCTACAAATTACAGATATGAATACAGATATTTCACTGTCCCCCATAACCAAAGAAAGTTAAGGATTTTCCTGTAACCTTAATAAATGTTCACAGATCTCACACATCAATGTACTTCATCTGTTTATCAGGGTGGACATGCGGAGCAGCGGATAGTCCACTCACCTTCCACCAAGATGGCTTGGGTTGTTTCCCCTGATTGATTAGTCGTGAAAGGTATAAGGTCACCTGCCTAAATCATGATTAGTCGTGAAAGGTATTGGGTCACCTGACAAAATCATGATTAGTCGTGAAAGGTTTTGGGTCACCTGCAGAAATCATGATTAGTCGTGAAAGGTATTGGGTCACCTGCCTAAATCAAACAACATGGGTTGGAATTCATTTTTTCATAATTGTTGTAAAATATATACAAATAAATGTCCAATAGACATACCTGTAATTTCTGCATTATTTTCTTGATGACATCGCTGAAGCTGTCATCCAATAAAGTGTCTGCCTCATCAAGCACCAAATGCTGACACCTGGCACCCGTCAGCTTACCTGTAAATCAATCAACAGGTACAGACAACAGCTGTTAGAAAGTATCAACAAAACTTACTTGTAGCAGCCTACAGTAGTGAAGTGTCTGTTAGAGTCTGTCTGACTCAAATAACTATACATGTACATACAGAACAGCTTTGACAATACAGACACTGTCATTCCAAGCTAAAGTAGCTTGGCCTCTGAGACAGGATACTGGGACAATTTGGTATACAAAAATGGCTATTCTGACCCCTGAAACACTGGTTGGATAACCAGATTAGTGATTGCTGATGGATAATGTGACAACCAGATTATTGATGGCTGAAGTGAGGAACAACTGAAATAGTAGTGACTGGATAGAGGTACATGTGAAGTTTGATTAGGAGGCACGACAGTCTAGCGGTGGGACGCCAGACTCGTGACCAAAGGGTTGCGGGTTCTAGTCACGTCACGGCACTGTGTTGTATCTTTGAGCAAGATACTTTTCTCCGCTTGTTCCAGTCTACTCAGCTGTAAATAAGTATGTGGTTGGGCAGTGCTAGAATTGTTGAATGCTAGCTTTGAGCGCCGATATAGCAACCCCGGCTGTATGCTGCCCAGGAAGTTTAGAAAGATAATGGCTGGTTGCATTTAGGCCCTTTGACCACGGATAATAATTTGTAAACAGCTTTGAGACGACTTACGACCTAGGTTGTGATAAAGAGGTATATATAAGACCTCAAATTATTGAACCTCAATAGTGGGACAACTTGATGGGTGGTGCTGAAAAAATGTGGCTAGATAGTGAGACAACTTGATGGGTGGTGCTGAAATAATGTGGCTAGATAGTGGGACAACTACATGGGTGGTGCTGAAATAACGTGGCTAGATAGTGGGACAACTTCATGGGTGTTGCTAAGATAATGTGGCTAGATAGTGGGACAACTACATGGGTGGTGCTAAAATAATGTGGCTAGATAGTGAGACAACTTCATCAGTGTTGCTGAGATAATGTGGCTAGATAGTGAGACAACTTGATGGGGGGTGCTGAAATAATGAGGCTAGATAGTGGTACAACTTCATGGGTGTTGCTGAAATAATGAGGCTAGATAATGGGACAACTTGATGGGTGGTGCTTAATTAATGTGGCTAGATAGTGAGACAACTTCATGGGTGGTGCTAAATTAATGTGGATAGTTAGTGAGACAACTTCATCGGTGGTGCTAAATTCATGTGGCTAGATAGTGGGACAACTTGATGGGTGGTGCTGAAAAACTGTGGCTAGATAGTGAGACAACTTGATGGGTGTTGCTGAGATAATGTGGCTAGATAGTGAGACAACTTCATGGGTGGTTCTGAAATAATGTGGCTAGATAGTGGGACAACTACATGGGTGGTGCTAAAATAATGTGGCTAGATAGTGAGACAACTTCATGGGTGGTGCTAAATTAATGTGGATAGTTAGTGAGACAACTTCATCGGTGGTGCTAAATTCATGTGGCTAGATAGTGGGACAACTTGATGGCTGGTGCTGAAAAAATGTGGCTAGATAGTGAGACAACTTGATGGGTGGTGCTGAAATAATGTGGCTAGATAGTGAGATAACTTCATGGGTGGTGCTGAAATAATGAGGCTACATAGTGGGACAACTTCATGGGTGGTGCTGGAATAATGAGGCTAGATAGTGGGACAACTTTATGGGTGTTGCTGAAATAATGAGGCTAGATAATGGGACAACTTGATGGGTGGTGCTTAATTAATGTGGCTAGATAGTGAGACAACTTCATGGGTGGTGCTAAATTAATGTGGCTAGATAGGGGGACAACTTCATGGGTGGTGCTAAATTAATGTGGCTAGATAGTGGGACAACTTGATGGGGGGTGCTAAATTAATGTGGCTAGATAGTGAGACAATTTCATGGGTGTTGCTGAAATAATGTGGCTAGATAGTGAGACAACTTCATGGGTGGTGCTAAATTAATGTGGCTAGATAAGATAGTGGGACAACTTCATGGGTGTTGCTGAGATAATGTGGCTAGATAGTGAGACAACTTCATGGGTGTTGCTGGAATAATGAGGCTAGATAGTGGGACAACTTGATGGGTGGTGCAAAATTAATGTGGCTAGATAGTGAGACAACTTCATGGGTGGTGCTGAAATAATGAGGCTACATAGTGGGACAACTTCATGGGTGGTGCTGAGATAATGAGGCTAGATAGTGGGACAACTTGATGAGTGGTGCTGAGATAATGAGGCTAGATAGTGGGACAACTTGATGAGTGGTACTGAGATAATGTGGCTAGATAGTGGGACAACGACATGGGTGGTCCTGATAGTGGGACAACTTCATGGGTGGTGCTGAAATAAGGTGGCTAGATAGTGGGACAACTTCATGGGAGGTGCTGAAATAATGAGGCTACATAGTGGGACAACTTCATGGGTGGTGCTAAATTAATGTGGATAGTTAGTGAGACAACTTCATCGGTGGTGCTAAATTAATGTGGCTAGATAGTGGGACAACTTGATGGGTGGTGCTGAAATAATGAGGCTAGATAGTGGGACAACTTCATGGGTGTTGCTGAAATAATGTGGCTAGATAGTGGGACAACTACATTGGTGGTGCTGAAATAATGAGGCTAGATAGTGGGACAACTTGATGGGTGGTGCTGAGATAATGTGGCTAGATAGTGGGACAACTTCATGGGTGTTGCTGAGATAATGTGGCTAGATAGTGAGACAACTTCATGGGTGGTTCTGAAATAATGTGGCTAGATAGTGGGACAACTTCATGGGTGTTGCTGAGATAATGTGGCTAGATAGTGGGACAACTTCATGGGTGTTGCTGAGATAATGTGGCTAGATAGTGGGACAACTTCATGGGTGTTGCTGAGATAATGTGGCTAGATAGTGAGACAACTTCATGGGTGGTGCTGAGATAATGTGGCTATATAGTGAGACAACTTCATTGGTGTTGCTGAGATAATGAGGCTAGATAGTGGGACAACTTCATGGGTGTTGCTGAGATAATGAGGCTAGATAGTGGGAAAACTTCATGGGTGGTGCTGAGATAATGTGGCTAGATAGTGAGACAACTTCATGTGTGTTGCTGGAATAATGAGGCTAGATAGTGGGACAACTTTATGGGTGTTGCTGAAATAATGAGGCTAGATAATGGGACAACTTGATGGGTGGTGCTTAATTAATGTGGCTAGATAGTGAGACAACTTCATGGGTGTTGCTGAAATAATGTGGCTAGATAGTGGGACAACTTCATGGGTGGTGCTAAAGTAATGTGGCCAGATAGTGTGACAACTTCATGGGTGGTGCTGAAATAATGAGGCTACATAGTGGGACAACTGCATGGGTGGTGCTGAAATAATGTGGCTAGATAGTGAGACAACTTCATGGGTGGTGCTGAAATAATGTGGCTAGATAGTGAGACAACTTCATGGGGGGTGCTAAATTAATGTGGCTAGATAGTGGGACAACTTGATGGGTGGTGCTGAAATAATGAGGCTAGATAGTGGGACAACTTCATGGGTGCTGCTGAAATAATGTGGCTAGATAGTGGGACACTTACATCTGTGTTGCTGAGAAAATGAGGCTAGATAGTGGGACAACTTCATGGGTGGTGCTGAGATAATGAGGCTAGATATTGGGACAACATCATGGGTGGTGCTGAGATATTGTGGCTAGATAGTGGGACAACTTTATGGGTGTTGCTGAGATAATGTGGCTAGATAGTGAGACAACTATATGGGTGTTGCTGAGATATTGTGGCTAGATAGTGAGACAACTTTATGGGTGTTGCTGAGATAATGTGGCTAGATAGTGGGACAACTACATATGTGTTGCTGAGATAATGAGGCTAGATAGTGAGACAACTTCATGGTTGTTGCTGAGATAATGTGGCTAGATAGTGGGACAACTACATATGTGTTGCTGAGATAATGAGGCTAGATAGTTAAATAATCACATTAGTGGTGGCATGAAAGTGTTACAACCTGGTTAGATGACTGGATAGTTTGGCAAATGGTTTATATTAGTTATGGCTGGTTAATGGGACAACAAGATTAGTGGAAGCTGGATTAATGTGACTGGATAGTGGGACAACCATATTAGTTGTGGCTGGCTTAATATGGCTGGAATCAGCGGAACATTAGGATTAGTGGAGGCTGAAATAAAGACACTGGACTGAATCACAATAGTATTATATAATTTATGGTGTACAAATAAGTCTCATAATTGTTGTTTGCTTAGCCTATGATTTCCAGAAATTATTAACGTTCTGAAAACATACCTGAGTAGAAGAATTTCAGCAGTGTCATTGGAGTAGACACAACAATGTCTATGGTTTCTTTTCCGAAAAATCTGATGTTTTGCTGGAGTAAAAAAATGAAACACATGTTAAGGATATAGATGTTGGAAACTGGATAATATCACATACAAGTATCACAAGTTTGTACTTTTTTTGTCACATTCTTTTTTCATGTATTTTCAGTAACATTGACCTTTACCTTAACATTAGAAATATTTTTAAACCCCTATTGCACATCTACACACCAAAGCGTATCACTATGTTAAAAAAGAAAACTCTTTGGATTCTGAGATAATATCCAGAAAACAAAAGTAACGTGTGGAGGAACAGACACTGTGATTACTGAAGGGTACCCGTACTTGTGACCTCTGAAAATATTCTGTTCTAAACAACAGCATACCAATCCATTTCTGTAAGACATATATACAGTATTCGCAGAGACAGCTTAAGACACATGTAAGATAATATTTATTACTGGGGTATAAAAGTCAATAATTAACAGTGTGTCACTTACTGTAGGGATTCCTTTCCCTGATAGCAGCTGCAACTTGATACCACAGGATTTTGTGAACTTATTTGCAACTTCCTACGAAACACAAAACAAATATTCACTGACCGAGTGAACTGAGTGAAAATTCAAATAATTTATAAACAGAGACTAAAAATTTTATCTCTTTTTTGTTGAATTGAAAAAACATTATGGAAGTCTCACTCCATTCTTGACAGCTTTATAGCCATTGTAATGTGTGAAAAAGCATTGTAAAAGTTGATATAAAGCATAATATTGATCCATGAAAGAAAGATAATTATCTGCCTATCGACCTATTCAGTTTTTCCTGGCATGTTACTGGAAACACATAATTTTTGTTTTGGCCTTACCATGTATCATTTGGTATTTATTAATGACAACTTCGTTTTACAGCATTAGCGGTTCTTGTTGTTATGTTGTCACTTCAAAAAACTCAACTGATTTGGAAAACTGTAATAGGTTGCTAATGTAGCTAACAGTATCTCCTCTTAGCCATTCTGAACTCTGTCATACATTTATTTTAGTGGTTTTTTTTACCTTGGAACCTTTCAGACAAAATATATTGTTAAAAGGTTTTAAGTCAAATAATTCTGTTTTGGGGTTATCTATTTAATAATCAAAGGTTAATAATAAGGTAGACTACCATCATTGTCTCTTTTAACACAACTTTGTAAGACTGGCTCTGTCAAAGAAAGTAATAGATGACTTCACTTGAAATCTAACAATATTTTTTCCTAACTACTGCTGTTTCTGGTGATATGTAAGAGACTCACTGCGACCTGGGTAGCCAGTTCCTGAGAGGGCAATATAATGATGGCTCGGGGTGAGTTTGGTGGAGTATCCTCAGCTGTCTCATTAGCCTGCATGCGCCACAACAACTCCATGATAGGTAGCAGGTAGGCCAATGTTTTACCACTCCCTACAACAGCAGTTTGTTAGACACGATTACTTAGTCTTAAAACAGTAGGTAGGCCAATGTTTTACCACTCCCTACAACAGCAGTTTGTTAGACACAATTCCTTACTCTTAAAACAGTAGGTAGGCTAATGTTTTACCACTCCCTACAACAGCAGTTTGTTAAACACGATTCCTTACTCTTAAAACAGTAGGTAGGCCAATGTTTTACCACTCCCTACAACAGCAGTTTGTTAGACACAATTCCTTACTCTTAAAACAGTAGGAAGGCCAATGTTTTACCACTCCCTACAACAGCAGTTTGTGAGACACGATTACTTAGTCGTAAAACAGTAGGTAGGCCAATGTTTTACCCCTCCCTACAACAGCAGTTTGTTAGACACAATTCCTTACTCTTAAAACAGTAGGTAGGCTAATGTTTTACCACTCCCTACAACAGCAGTTTGTGAGACACGATTACTTAGTCGTAAAACAGTAGGTAGGCCAATGTTTTACCACTCCCTACAACAGCAGTTTGTTAAACATGATTACTTAGTCTTAAAACAGTAGGTAGGCTAGCCACTCGCACTTACAAAAATGGAAACAATATGTCAAACAACAAATGCTTCATTTTCCTGTGTAAATTGCTCCAAAGACTTGAGGACTTTGTCCTGAATCAATATCTTTTTTGACTTATTAAGAAATAATGTAGAAATACTTCATATGTTCTATCAAAGGGGAGACAATTGTTCATTTTCACAACGAAGTATTTAAAAAGAAATTGTTTGGAATGTAACAACTGTCCACAGACAATGACTTGAATATATAAGTACAGTTTTCCCCCATATACCATTAGAAATGTTTCCGCTACTACCCTGGTATACTTAACCCCATTGATATTGCCATCTGCCAAACATTTTCAAATACACTCATAACAGCAAGAATCCTTGTCCTTATGATCACACAAAAAAAGGAAAAAATGTACTGTTTTGTTACAAACTTTATATTTATAGCAATTTATTTACAGAATTGAGGGTTATTAAATTTTCACAACACATTGTCAACAAAATAAAGATTACTCCTCCTGACTAGATCACTATATTAGAAACCATGCTTAATTTTCTAATCGCAAACAAATTTCATGGCAGTGTCACCTAAAACCCCTTTTTCCAAGTGCCTACACCAGGAGTCGAACCCAGGACTACAGACTACTAGCCTGGTGCTGTACTGATAGAATGAACTAAAGGAAAATTCCTTCCAGCTGAGTTAGTTAGTAATATAACAATCTACCAGATCGATTCCCATTGGTATATATACTCCCTGTGAATTGAAAGAACTTGTCCTCTAGTCTTCAAGACTATAACCATGCTTGTGAGAGCTAGGTTAAGGAGATTACCGTACACAGTATCAAGGACCCTTATTGGTAGCAGAAGTCACTCCTCCCCCCACCCCCAACAGCCTTTGTTAAGAACATGCTCCTCTTTCATTGAAAGAACCTGTGTCTTCCAGAATACAACAATGCTTGTGAAAGCAACATTTAGGAGATTACCATACATACAGGTGCCATTAATGTAGAGCGGTGACGTTCCCAAGTGTCTCCGCTAGAAGTCAAATCTCGAACCATAGATTACTACTCCAGTGCTTTGCTGATTTAATTACCACCTAGCTTTTTAGTCAGTAATTAGAGGCTAGATGGTTCAACACTGTGACACATGTACCAAATTTTGAGATAAAATGAAACTTACCTGTTTCTGCAGCACAGATCACATTCTGTCCTTGTAGAACAGCACTGAATGTACGCCTCTGAAGAAAACAAAATCGGTAGTAATCATACAGTAAATATGTAAAAAAAAGTCTTTGGTCAACAGCAAGAAGAGTCCTCAAAAAACTTATATCTGTTCATTTATTCTGAAAAATAAATTTTCATTTAATCATTTACGTATATCAGGCCATCACTTTACTTGTATTAAAAGGACTTGTCGTCATAGCCTACTGTGTGTTTTATTACATGGTATTAATTTCATTGAACACATCTTTACAAACCAGTGAAGTAATAGCATGTATCCAAAGGATGTTCTCTACACAAACACATTATCATTTCTTTGCATTTATGTATGTGTGCTTGTAAAATGTACCTGTATTTGTGTGAAATGTACCTGTATTAATGTGTTCTTGTAAAATATGCATGCATTTATGTGTGTTTATAAATTGTACCTTAATATGAATTTAACATGTGTGTTTGTAAAATATACCTATATAATGTTATTTACATATATACTTATGTGTGTTTATATTAATATAGTATACCTGTATCTTGGTGGGATATTCAAAGTTTAGTTCCTCAATCTGCTCCAATAATTTTTCATTCAGGTCAAAATCTTCAAATGTCCGCACTGTCTCATTAATTGTTTGCAGCGCTGGATTCTGTAATCAATACCACATGCTTAGTACAGCAATCAGTGAAAAGCTTAGAATGAATTAATATACCACAAGAGCTATTCAACTTTGATTAAAAAAGCTCAATTTTATCAACATCTTCATACATTTACAGGATTAAATTGTACCATTATCATAGTAAGATTCAGAACAATATATCAGGATCTCTTATGTTGAATTTATTAACAGTTTACCTACTTAATGACATTTCTGTTCATTGCACTGATTTGGTAATAGGATATTGAGCCTGACGTTAGAGTCATTATAAATCATACATGTACATCTTCACTTGACAGTCTACACTGGTACAGTTAACTCAATCACCCCAGAAGACACATTTGAACTCCTCCAATTCAAAGGTTGGAATAGTTCATTATGATATTTCAGGGGTGAATGAGATAAATCTAATGGCTGATTTTAAATGGCTATATGTCCCAACAATTTACATGATTGTGTTCCTCATTACCTTGCTGTTTGCTTTGATTGTAAAATGATCCCCTATGGACTTGTAGTTGCTCCAGCCATGGGAAGCCAACTTGCTGGGGTTGAATTCACTGTAAGTCTGTCCTTGGTGATGGTTGTACTGAACACGTTTACAGCTGATCACCAGGGCAGACCTCTTATTTGTCATGTTAATTTTGGCCTGTATGGCTTTCTTTCTCAGAATGTTTCTCTCCTTCTTTTGAAACTGTACCTTTAGTTTATGAGGAGTCGTTATTCTTGGTACTTCCACATTTGTCCTTGTCTAAAATGTACACATTTCATTAGCTTCATGTGTCGCTTTGTTGTAACAATGTGCACTTTGCAAAAATAAAAAACAAAAGCAGTACATGATAGTAGCCCATTCTATAAATATATCTGAAATGAAAAGTATTTTTTTATAATTATAATCATATTTCAAAAAGAATTTGAAAACCATGAATTCACTGTCAGTTATGACAAGCTTCTTGAGGATGAATGTACCAAAACACAATCAAACTTAGCATTCTATATTTTAACTGTCATGTTGGTTTATGTGTCCACTGCCCAGGCCCCTGTCCAAAATTATTTTTGTAGTGCTAATACAATGATAATAATAATAATGATTTTATTTAGGGAAAAGACACAGTAACACATCAATATGGTAAAGCATTCATAACAAATTAAACTTACATGAATAGATTTTAATTGAGCTTCTATCAGATACTAAATATACAATATTTGATTTAGCTCCCTATCTAGCTAATCTAAGCCACTATACAGCGCTTTACAGTACATAGATATACAATTTTTACAATCAATACAATTAGCATATACATTAATCAATAAAATTTTGAGGAATTGACAGGAGCTGCCTTATCAGGCGTTAACTACTAGTCATATGCCACCTGGCTAATATCTCCCTATGTGTGTATGCTTGCATGTGTGCTGGAAATGTATTGTGTTCCGTTTGAAGTGGGACCGTGCCTCCAACGGTATCATTTATAGTGCCACCTCACTTGAATGCTACAGCACAGATACCGCAATATCCACCCCCACACAATTTCTTATTCCACCTGGGTTGTTGGATTTATGTGAGCTGGAGAAAAACACTTTCTCTGAATATTCCATGTGTACGACGACTTCGGGATCGCACCACTGCCGTCTGCATGGAAGGCTGGAGTGTTAACCACACAACCAATCGCCCCATTAAAATTAACATATCTATAAAAAATTAAGTACTGTAAGATAGCATCATGGTTTTGATGATATCATATTACATCACAATTCGATTGTTGAAACTCTTGAAAGTTACACAACAACATGTACCTTCATATATCTCCATTACTAGCCGTTACCTACGATGACCCATACAATTTTATTCAGATCAACCAATCGAACATTTTACTCATTGGACCGATATCTTCACTGGATACTTAAAACAGTGATGAGTTATTTACTTACTGTGGCAGATTTTAATTGTACGTAGAGTGATGGTCGCCTTCTACCTTCACGCCAGAGTGAATTTCCCTTTAGCTCAGTGGTTAAAGCTAGGACTAGAAAGTCAGGGATCGCAGGTTTGATACCGGTAGAAGCACACTACTCCCTTACCTGTTACACTTACCATTGATAAATATACTGATAAGGTAATACTAGTATGTCAACTGCGATAACGTAGCTTCTGTCGACGGGCAGAGGAGGCTGGGTATTAATATTAGCACTAGTCAATTATAAGCATCTAACAATCAACTCTTGAGGTTTTAGAGACATACATGTAGTGGTACAGTCACCCTTTAGGGCAAGTTTCCTCTGGCCTTGACATCAGACTCGGGTATTTATCTGTCAAAATATCAAAGTTGGGTGTCGGGGCCAGAGGAAAGTCAGGAAACTCAGGCTAAGTCATCCTTGAGCTTCAAATAATTGTATAACTATTAAAAAATATTATATAGTACCGATAAACCTGCATTAAAACTCGTGGGTTATGGTAAACTGTACAAGATGTGGTATACATACTGCAAATTGTCTACACAAGACGGAAACCAGCTGGGACCGAATAGTGCTGTTCAACGTCACCAGGGTAGACATTTTGGCTCCTTTCAGGGACTATTCAAAACAAATACAAAAATAAAACATATGAACCAACCACTAGTTTAATCTTGCTGCTGTAATTTTTTAGGGGAGTGAAAATCCAATGAATTTAGCCCCAATTAACACTTTTAAAACCTGACACGTGAAAAATGTCAAATGTGGCAATGTAATGAATGTCAGGTCCTTCACTCCTTGTGGCTGTTCTTTCAACTATTCAAAAAAATCTCGAAACAGTTCTTTCAAAAAAACAGTTAAAATGGTAATTAAATCAGAAGTGATCTAATGTCCGAACCTACAAACAATAACGTGCCAGATAATTGAGGTTAACGTTCATGGATTGTCAGATGTCTTCACGTTGTTCATGGAGGCTGACATGACACCGGAAATAGATTTGTTTGTAATCCGGGTTAAAGAGACGCTCTGACAACATCAACTTGAGAAGATGGGAACAGAATATATTGGAAAAATTGCCCCTTGTTTTACACATTTGATAGATACGGTGATCAGAAATGGGAAGATTGGAATATGCGGTGCACATGTGCGCATATCGGACATCAGAACTGGGTATGCTAAAATGTTTGCTAGATATGTACAGCAGTAGGCCTACTACAGTCTACAGTGCTGTTTTGGAATGACTCACTGCATAAAAAATGATTATTTGTGATAGTTTATCTCAATTAAAAATAAATCTCTACGGAAACTACTGATTTGAAATTCGTAAATTTTATTTGTAAGCTGACGACAAGACTAAAAATGGATGCAAGTGTATTAAAGAGAAGGGAGACAACTCGTACTGATTGATGACATTTCAACCATAAACAAAAATATTATAAACTTTATTTAGTTTACAACAATTACGAAACATGTTATTTCAACTTATGTAAATCACTCTTGTTGGCCTGGATGTTATATTAGCATGCGATGGGTCTTAAAGAAGGAGGAAACAAGAGAACCCAGAGAAAACCCATGTTGTCAGGCAGGTGACTTCATACCTTTATGTTTGATCGAGGAATCAATCCCCAGCTGCTTTGGTGAAAGGCCAGTGTGTTTTTCGCTGTGCCACCTGACCACCATCATCAGATAGTGGGTAGATCAAATCACCGTACGAATCATCCGTCATCTGTTTGTCCTTATAAAAGTTTTGTTATAGCTATTTCTCAAAATGGACTCTGCAGATCTTTTCAAATTTCTTATGTAGATTCCCCTTTGTCCATAGTTCTGCATTTTTGGACTGATCAGAAAAACAAGATGGCAACCAGGCAGCTACCTTGGATTTTTTAAATTTCAAATTTGTTTATTGCTATTTCATAATTGAAAAACAGCCTCACTTTGAAATGACACTCAAAACCCAATGGTATGGAAATTTTAATTAAAAGTGACTGCAAGATACATTTTCTGTTGATAAGATTATGAATCCAACAGATTAGTGAACAGAAGAGAATTAAGGGAAAAGATCAAACTTACATAGAATTAGATCTTATGAAAGTCTTACGTTGGCACCATGATCCCTGAAGAATCTCTTGTTTATAAACAATTTTTATCTACACTGTAACTTGTAAGTATACGGTAATACCGGTATTGCAAAAACACTTATGTTAAAAAGATATGGTCCCTATCACTACTAGTATGGGAAAGAAAGATTAACCACAACAAAAGAGCTAAATATGTATTGTTTTCAGAAATTTTACACTAACCTGTCAAATTATTAATAGATCTACCATAAAGCAAATTAAAATTGAAATATCACTTGTAAAATGTGTGTAAGTTGTAAGTTATAAAAGCACAGATTATCTCCCTTTAGTGATTGATTGAAGTGATTTTTGTATTGATTTTGGGAAAATAAAGCTGAAATTATCAATTAAAATTCACTCTAAAAATAGTTATAGATACAAATATATAACATATGTTATGTACATGGTTGATTGCATAAACATAAGGTAAAAATGCCTGTTAATAACAATTTGGTAGTAGTTTTGATATTCCATTGTAGGTCACTAAGTACTTCAAAGAAGCCCAATGGTGACAGATTTCAGGTGCTACTTCCCTTTGCAGGCCAGACACTACAATGTAAGTGTTAAATTATTGCCTACAATATAAGTGTTACATTATTGTCTACAATGTCAGGGTTACATTATTATCTGTGATGTAAGTGTTACATTATTGTCTGTAATGTAAGTGTTACATTATTGTCTATAATGTAAGTGTTACATTATTGTCTATAATGTAAGTGTTACATTATTGTCTACATTACTCTACAATGTAAGTGTTACATTATTGTCTACAACAAAATAGCATTCAATAATGTTTACTACCAAGGTAATCCTAGAGATTGCAATGGGTGTCTGATGTTTCTACTTGTACTATGTATCTGTATATATGATCTATATAGAATGAATGGTGTTTTGGTACACTATGTGTGTAAGCTTTTGTTATCATTATATGTGAAAGTGGTGGTTACTCTAATGTCTGGTAATGGCACATATTTCATAAATAGTAGAGTGGTGTTTCATCGGTCTGTCTAGTGTAATCAGAATTGGAACATGTCTAGTGTAATCAGAATTGGAACATGTCTAGTGTAATCAGAATTGGAACATGTCTAGTGTAATCAGAATTGGAACATGTCTAGTGTAATCAGAATTGGAACATGTCTAGTGTAATCAGAATTGGAACATGCCTAGTGTAATCAGAATTGGAACATGTCAGAAATTTGTATCCAGTTGAGTCATTGGTAACACCTTCACCTTACACTGTATATATGTTTTTACTGGTACCATGTTTTCTATTTTTAAGGGGATGTAATTTTCGACTGTAACTATCCCCAGGACCCTCCAGATTTTATCTTTTCAACAGATGACAATGACTTTTGTCCCTATGAGGAGGATGTCAAGGTTCGTTTTTCTTTTATTCATCATGATAAGTAATTTCCTGATGGTATATTAATTCTAAGATAGCTGTACTTGTTGCATTTACACTTTTTTCAATAAAATGAAAATAATATTGTAAAACACTCATATAATATATGTCACTATATTTTTTATAGCATGTAATCTTAATATATATGGAATGACTTGATGAATCAAATTGGACATTATGTTTATCCCTACCAGAGTTTGGTGAACTGGGACTACAATGACCCCAGTAGTCTACTGAATGTCCTGAATGAGTTGTTGGTCTTGTACCGTGAACACCATCAGCGCCGGATAGAGGCCCACTCTCGCCTTCAGTTTGAGTACTCCTCTCTTATTGACCAAGCCAACCTAGCACCAGAAGACATTGAGATATTCGTACACAAAGCTGAGGTGGGTGTCTTTTTCTATATGACTGTAGTGAAGGGATGTTTATGGTATATCAGTGTCTTGTGTAAAATGTTTCTTATATGTCCCCCAACAGATGGCAGAGTGCCACATACCAAAAGTAGGTCACAGTGATCTAAACTTTGACCCTGTCTCATTAAAACAGATTGTCTACGGCATATCACTTAACCCTTAACATGCATTTATTGGGATGAGTCCATTATGGTTTACAGTAGTGAAAGGGTTAAGGATCCCTGTCCCACTGCACTGTGGGTTTCCTATGTACAGTAACCTCCCCTTAATTTCTGCTTGGATATAACTGTAGCACAGTTTGACCAGGACACTTCCTTTGACCAGGAAGCTCAATCGGTAATACAATAGCGATAGTATAATATTCTTAAATCCTAGGTTTGAGTCCCAGTCAAGCCCGCCCAATTTTTACACTTAGAACCCTGTTGGCGATTATATTTTGTTTATTTCATCTGTATTATTTTTCATTTATATCCCGCAAGGTATGGTTTTCTTTTCAGAAATGATTTACTAAAGCTATATTAATGCCAGAAAAACCTGTTTCTAGTACAAGTTACAGATTTTGGCAGTGGTTTGAGGATCCTAGCCCCTAATTTTCTATAATTTCCCAGCTGCATTTTACTAAAGCTTAACTTATCTCCCTCTTGTAGAGATGGAGGCCATTGTCTGATATGAGATTGGATGACAGCAGTAACATTGTTCCCCAATTTTGATGTTGCTTATTTGTTATTTTAAGACTATCAATTTCCCTACATCAATTGCCCTTTTGAATTTGTTTCATCAATGTTTGTTTTTTTTGGAAACTACATTCTTTAGTGTATATTTCTTGAAATTGACTAAAGGTGTCATTGCCTTCAAAGCTTGGTACGCCGATGCAGTGGACTAATCTTGTTGTGTAGATTAATAACATTTTGAATTACTTTCAGGCCAAGGTTGGTCCAGTCGTGTTTCTGGTCAAAATGTCAGTAGATTTTACAAAGATCCCAGCTTACCTAACCAAGGTGAGTCCATGTAATTAGTGTTTAATCCTTATAATCAATTATCAAATCCAAACAACTATTCAGATCAGGTAATTAACATTCATCATTAATAATGATGAATTTTAAGAAAAAAGATCTGGTAAATTTATAGGAACCCGATCCTGGTATTGAAGTTTATATTAGTAGTAAGTAACTTGAGAGGGGATGAAGATTAAAACATAAGCTCTCTTTTGACATTTTGGTCATGTGATAACTGTAAGTAAATCATAATTCATAACTTCAGAAAGACACCTAGTTTCAACAGCTTGTGCTTTTTCGTTCTTCAGAACTGACAAATTAATTACCAAATATGACAGAAATTGTACTTCTTTGTACACCGAAAAGTACAGAAACACATGTGCAATGAGAGATCAGATTTTTAATTAGATAAAGAATGGTGTTGATATACACTGTTTGTTACAGGACAATCCTGGAGAGGACTCAGCCGTTTTACTAGTCAACTTCCCCTCCCCCAACACTTCACGGATAAGTCCCCAACTGTACCTCTCACCTAGAGTAGAAAAGTAAGTAACCCTCCTACCACAACTTACCTCTCACCTAGAGTAGAAAAGTAAGTAACCCTCCTACTACAACTGTTCCTCTCACCTAGAGTAGAAAAGTAAGTAACCCTCCTACTACAACTTACCTCGTATCTCAAGTAGAAATGTAGGCAACCTCCCCCTCCCAGAACTTACCTCTCACTATTGTTAAAATGTAGGTCACCCTACTCCACATAAATTTGTACTTAAAAGAGGGAAACAAGTAATCCTTCTTCTGAAACTTACCTCGCACCTTCAGTAGAAAAGTTACCAGGGGTAAGTACCTACCCACTTCACAGCGCAGAAAGTCTCAATGCACCTCACACCTTTAGTAGAAAGGTTACCAGGGGTAAGTACCTACCCACTACACAGCAGAAAGTCTCAATGCACCTCGCACCTTCAGTAGAAAAGTTATCAGGGGTAAGTACCTACCCACTACACAGCAGGAAGTCTCAATGCACCTCGCACCTTCAGTAGAAAAGTTAGCAGGGGTAAGTACCTACCCACTACACAGCAGGAAGACTCAATGCACCTCGCACCTTCAGTAGAAAAGTTATCAGGGGTAAGTACCTACCCACTACACAGCAGGAAGTCTCAATGCACCTCGCACCTTCAGGAGAAAAGTTACCAGGGGTAAGTACCTACCCACTTCACAGCAGGAAGTCTCAATGCACCTCGCACCTTCAGTACAAAAGTTACCAGGGGTTAATACCTACCCACTACACAGCAGAAAGCCTCAATACACCTCACACCTTCAGTAAAAAAGTTATCAGGGGTAAGTACCTACCCACTACACAGCAGAAAGTCTCAATGCACCTCGCACCTTCAGTAGAAAAGTTACCAGTGGTAAGTACCTACCCACTACACAGCAGGAAGTCTCAATGCACCTCGCACCTTCAGTACAAAAGTTACCAGGGGTAAATACCTACCCACTACACAGCAGAAAGCCTCAATACACCTCACACCTTCAGTAAAAAAGTTACCAGGGGTTAGTACCTACCCACTACACAGCAAAAAGTCTCAATACACCACGCACCTTCAGTAAACAAGTTACCAGTGGTAAGTTCCTACCCTGCTCCCCTTCCAATTTCACAGATTAAACTGTCAATGCACCTCTCACCTAAAGTAGGAAAATACCCTCCCCAAACACGCAGAGTAGAAAAGTAAGTCCTCCTCCAAAACATTGATAATTAACCCACCCACAGCCTAAAGTGTACCCGTCTCCTGAAATAAAAAAAATAACAGTACAATCAACACCCGACGCCAAACATCTGTCCATTTCATTTGTTCATTAGGGTTTCTTTTTTATAACCCAAATAACATCATTACCAGTAATGGGGGTTATATAGTAATTGCTTTGTCAGTGCGTCTGTACAGGGTGTGCATTCATCCATAGTAGTTATAAGTATGTTAATATCAAGTTCTATAGCTGATTTGTTTTTGGGGATCATCCGTCAAGGTTAAAGGGTCAAAGATCAAGGGCAAAGTGGGGGAGTTAGGGGGAATGGTTGTGGTGAGGGGTATACCATAATCTATGTGAGGTAAAGATGGGACAAAAAAACAGGAAATATCCCTATCACGAACCACTACTTATAATTTCTGATGTAGTCAATAAACCATAAATACGATTGTACCTGTGTTTCCCAGTGCCCTTGGAGGGTCGGCTAACCTGAGGATTCCTCCCTATCCCAGTGGTGGCTGTCTGCTGGATTATGTTCCAAATGTCTGTGAACTTTTACAGAACAAGGTAAAATTTCTGATAATAGGAAAACAAGACAAGGTTTCAGGTTGAAGGAAACTTCAATAAAACCAGATAGTTTTAAATTGATGGGAACCTTTATAAACCAAGATAAAGATTCTGGTTATCAGGGACTCATTTTATTCACATGGATTCATATAAATGAATAACTTTTGTTGGAGATTGATTGATTGGTAATACTTATCCATGATTCATCGTCTGATCACTTATCTTTTCAGAATTTAGAAAATCTACAAGTATGAACATAAACACAAACATTCTCGATGTGGTGTTGACTGAAAATGTCCAAAATCATTTTTATCCTTACACATGTACGTGTATTACATGTTATTGTCACTTAATACATATCAGTCTAAATTATGTAATTACAGTCTGTGTTATATATACTTAGGTGGACCAGATATCAAATGTTCACGAGAAGAAGAAAGAGTACATAGCTGCCTTTCTCAGTACCTTTGGCAGGTGAGCATTACTGACTTCAGTATTGATGATATTTCAAATTTCAGTGTTTTCATTTATCAATCTTTTAAGAAACGTGAGAAAAGAAAAACATGCAAAAGTTGATTGTTTTTATAATAAAACTTCTTCATATCAGTTGCATAACTGTATATAGCAGAATTATGACTACCCAATGAAAACATATAGAGAAAAAACCATTCTGATTAAACCCAGATCTTTTATTACACTGTACATAGTATTTGCGTAAAATAAAACAGTCAAAACCAGTCAAACAGAACACCACAAGGACTAAAACATTTGTTCAGATACACAGTTTGCAGATACCAGGTCAAATACTTGTTGAAGTTCTTAACTTTCACAGGTTTCTGATTATTCAGGATTTAGTTAAAACTGGTTACACAAATTTCTTATATCTACCTGGTATGTTTTTTCACTTTCGATAAATTTCTATTGGCTTGAAGTATGATAAACTTCAATTGGCTAGAAGTATGATAAACTTCTATTGGCTAGAAGTATAATAATTTCTATTGGCTAGAAGTATCATAAACTTCTATTGGCTAGGAGTATGATAAATTTCTGTTGGCTAGAAGTATGATAATCTTCTATTGGCTAGTAGTATGATAGATTTCTATTGGCTAGAAGTATAATAATTTCTATTGGCTAGAAGTATAATAATTTCTATTGGCTAGAAGGATGATAAATTTCTGGTGGCTAGAAGTATGATAAATTTATATCGGCTAGAAGTATGATAAAATTCTATTGGCTAGAAGTATAATAATTTCTATTGGCTAGAAGTATCATAAACTTCTATTGGCTAGAAGTATAATAAATTTTTATTGGCTAGAAGTATGATTCATTTCTATTGGCTAGAAGTATAATAATTTCTATTGGCTAGAAGTATAATAAATTATTATTGGATAGAAGTATGATAAACTTCAATTGGCTAGAAGTATGATAATCTTCTATTGGCTAGAAGTATCATAAACTTCTATTGGCTAGAAGGATGATAAATTTCTGGTGGCTAGAAGTATGATAAATTTATATCGGCTAGAAGTATGATAAACCTCTATTGGCTAAAAGTATGATAAACTTCTATAGGCTAGATGTATGATAAATTTCTATTGGCTAGAAGTATGATAAACTTCTATTGGCTAAAAGTATGATAAACTTCTATTGGCTAGAAGTATGATAAATTTCTGTTGGCTAGAAGTATGATAAACTTTAGTTGACTGGAGATGTACAAAACACCTACTGCTATACAGATTTTCATGTATGTTGCTATATTCTTGTCAAGTGTTTAATTCATACATATTTTCAGATCAGTGTTGGAATATGACGCAGAAGTATTTACTAGGATTTCATTTCTTTTTGAATGGAATGATTTCTTCTTCATACTTTATGGTAAGTTCAGCACAACTCATGTTAAAAATGTAAAATATGTTAGCCCCTTGTTTGATAACGATTGTTAGCCATAATGATTGTTAATTAAAGACAATGGAGCTATGATATAATAACTCATGACACTTGTCATGCCCTCGCCATTTTGGTATATGTGATGACCATAGAAAAAATGGTAGAGAGTGTGGATATTAGTGTTTTGAAGTACAGAAATGGATGGCATCAAAGCAGTGTTATGTCATTTCACTAATAAAACAGGAAAACAATACAAGTCAGGTATAAGAATAACTTTGATAGAGTTAACGTTTCATGGTCTCCAAGTCAAGGCTAAGGTCACTGTTACTATTAATAGAAAAGTAAACTGATTCACTTTGTAGTGCTTTTGATCAAATTTTATTCACCAATTTTTTTATGAGAATACATGTGTCTTGCCATCCTGGGATGAAGTTTCATGTTTCAGAATGCGATATGCCGAGGTCTTGGCAATGGTCACCATTAGATTTAAAAGTAAAAAAAAAAATATATTAGATTTTGCCACGCTGTAGTGACTATATTTCACAAACTTCACAAAAATGAATGCAAGGAAGATGTATTAATTTTCTGACTGAATTAAAGAAGTGTGATGATACATTGTACCTTAACCCTTTCACCACTGTAAACCATAATGGACTCATCCATATCAATGTATGGTAAAGTCTACTAAAGTTACATAGGGGTGAAAGGGTTAACAATAGTTCAGATTTCAGGGTGCCATGGTTAGAGTTGATATTACTAATCTATATAAGGATGTTACCAATGAAACTAATTTTAGATGGGTGTGGGGGCATTCATAGCCAGTTTGAGAAATTTTAAGTCATGTACCTATCCAAGCTTACTAGTGGTTCAACAGAACAACATTATAGACTGACTTTGTGCTCACTGTTACAATAACAGTATATGTACATAATTACTGACTCTCAGATAATGTATTGTTCTGTTTGCAGTGGAGCTGCCCTCATTCTTCCCCCAGGAGCCTCCCATCTTTACTTTCCAGTCAATCTACCACGAGTCCAAAGGCAAGCCATACACCGAGACGTACAATGACTACCCATACAGCCCTCGCTGGACTGCAAACAAAATGGCAGAGAAAGCAAGGTAAGCCTAGTGTTTCTTGATATTAAAACTATCTAACCGTAAGTGAAAAAAATCATCACCCCTGTGAGATAGATATGGGGGAGTTTCTATGAAGAAATGTTAACATTTCCTGTGGAGACAGGTGCATAAAAACAATATTCTTTCCAAATAGGTTCTTGGTTAATTTGTATGGTTTCTAGAAAAACTACTACAGTGTATATTTGTTGATTTCATTCACAATGTCATGGTTGGTGGTTTTTTTTACCAAAATCCTGGTTAAGCGACGAGACAAAATGAACCATTCATCATGTAGGTAGTGTATTGAAGGTAGGAAGTTATCTACTCTAGGGAGAAGAATTTAGTCTCAAACCTCAGCAAACCCCCAGTTCTGACCTAAGTTCTAAACCCTTGGTTAGAATCTCCCTATCCCCCACACCTAAATGTGATAGACTCTAGAAGTCACCATTACTTTGGTTAAATTTGAATACTTTCCTGTCAAACATACGTAATGATTTATGTTTTAAATGAAATAACTTTTACTTTGTTTTGCAGGGAATACATCCTATGTAGTATTGGAACGTTCCAGAAATCCTCAGTCCACAGTGGTTCTCTATAGACCAACACGTGCTCAACTAAGTGACAAAATATGCGTGCTCAACTTATTGACAGTATATTTTTTCTATCATCATCATGATGTCAAGTATGAAAACCATTGTTTTGCTGCTTTCCTATTTGGACCTGTATACTAAAAGGACATTGTGTTGTTTCAATATGCCATTTTTTGTGACAAGTAGCTCTTTCGGGAAAAGTGCATTCTTCATGAAATGAAAATGTTCATAGAAAGTCAGTTCAGATACTGTATAGTATTACCTACAGAGATAAGCAATTTGTTATTTCAGTCCTTTTTTTCTGCTTTACACATATATTTATGTACCTCAAGAATGTGGAAAGCTTGCTTCATTGTATTCTGTAATCATTAAAGTTATGTTATTAAGAAATCTTATATTTTCTTTATCATCTGTATATAGCAAGGAAAAACATTGCATTCAATCTTCCTCCTGACAAATTGTTTATCATAAAATGAACAAAAGTCCATAATACTGTACAGAGTGGAACAGAGGACCCAATTTTAGCATGTGAAGCTCCATCATCCAGGGAGGTCACTAGTAAAAAAAATAGTTTTGTTAACTGTAGGTCACAAGAATATATGAGATCTCCCATGGAGGACAATATGATGTGCAGTGAGGGCCATAATTGTACACAGGGAGGTACAAGTGAGCAAAGGGCCATAATTGTATGTACACAGGGAGGTACAAACCCAATTTCAGTATGCAATACTCGGCCACACCAAGAGATATCGAGGTTCCCCAAAGAGTGATGGTTGGTAATCATACCTCGTGTCTTTATACAATTTGAAAAGTAACTAACGAGAGTTAAATAAACATGATAACCAACCGTCAGAAGTTTGGGGATCGTTTTCTCCCACAACATTCAGATACTATATATATCTAGAAAACCATGTTTCTCTGAGGAATGAATCTGTACATTATTACTGTTTCTGAATGGGCAATCAATGGCTATGAACTATGACGTCACAATGGAAGATGACATCACAAAGCATTGTTACTTGATGTCATAATTAAAAGAAAGATGGTTGAAATCATCCAGGTTGTTACCAACTAGTGGGTAACCAAAATAGTTTAACATCTCCTGGCGTGTTTATACAATGAGTCGGGAGTGAGGAAACCTATATTTTAATAGTGGTTGTGGGAGAAATTGGCATACACAACTTTGTAATGGAGTACATTAAAGATATGCATGCTCTAGAAAGAGTCGATCCATAACTATAGTAGTTGCAAAAGAAACCCGTTACTGTTTACAACTGAAGTGAGCAATGTTTTAATTGACTGCTTTTTCTATAAACAAGGAAAAAGAAAGGCAATGAAATCTTCAGCTTTTACAAAATGTCTTCATTTAACGCTTTTCACATAGAAATACAAATTATTATACATGTACAAATAAATGTATACAGGTGTAAATAGACTTTTTATACCAAACATTTTTTTCAAGAATTGCAATAAAATATCATCACAAGTTGTTACTGGTGCTACAAAATTAGAAATATTGATAAAATATATAAATATATGAAGAAAATGGTCGGCACACGCTGAGCATCCATCACCGTCACAAAATAACTTGGTTCCATGAAATGTTTTATCAAAACACCCCAGATTACCTCTTTGGTCTTTTTCTATAATCATTAGACATCCTGATAAGCTTCACAGAAAGATAGTTAAAAGGTCAGATAATACAACTGTTACAGAGATTCCTTGTTTTAAAAAAAGCAGGTGCCGTCTGCCACTAACATATATGTTAGAACTCTCTCCCTTTATGTATACAAAACAATAAATTTATTTCTTACATGAAGATTTATCTACGATCCAATGACCCACATGCTGCCCCAGCTACATAACTACTGTGCCTTGGGTAGCTAGTACACAAGGTGATGTGACAAAGTCTTTTCTTACCTAATTATAAAATCATTTAATCTCTTCCGAACATTAGCATCACCCAACTCATCTTCGCTAGCCAAGGGTTCGCTTCGTATACACTCCACTTACCCTTGGCAGATATAGCCGTGTTTACGAGCCTTCAAATTATCGCGCGATGGCAATCGCTCGCATCCAATGAAATAACGTCTTACATATAGCGCTGTTGAAAAGGGTAAATAGTAATGGCGGCGCCCAGTGAGGAGTGTATACGAAGCGAACCCTTGGCTTGCGAAGATGCACCCAACTACATTAAGTCTTTTTAATATCCACAGTAAACTATAGTAAAAGTAACAATGTTATGTCCTCACTAACACTGAATTAGTTAGTGAATAATTACATAAATACACGAAATAGTGCTGTCTTTCTGGTACGATATGACTAACAGGAGGTTCATCAACCTGACCTGCAGATGATCTGTTCTTTACTTATATTATGCTGAATGTGGTACATACGTATACAAAATATGAGTAAAATAAATACCAATTGAGAACGGGTAAAATTCTTCACACATTTACATCTATAGTACTTTTATTTGTTAATAGACAAAAGTATGACATTTCTAAACCTGGCTCTGTGTCCCTGTCTTCACTTCCTGTGATATTTGGTCCCTACATTCCTCTCGGTCTACACTGGGAGCCGTCCCTCCTATACTAATCTCGCTATATTCTTTGAAGACCCTATTCACTCTATCTTCTTTGGTCTATTTTATATCCCTGCAAAAGTGCTTTTATCTGAACATAAAATATGCGACCTCTTATCTTTACTGTAAATATATGAACATTAAGATACTGTTTTCCTTGTTTTTTGTCCTTTTATAAGGCTTCATTTAAAAATATATCATTAAAAAATATTATTATAAATAAACATTGAAAATATTCACATTAAACACCACTATCATATCAGCAAGGCTGTGCCAAGCTAAACAAAAAAATTTGGGATGAGTTTCATAAATCTTACATGAAATGAAAACAAAGTGGAGGTTATTTTATCACAATACAAGGAATGTAAGCCAAATTCATGAATACATTTTTTAACCACCATCAAATCCTTAACATAATTATTTTGATGCGATGTCTATTACCTTTAACTTAAGGTGTAACACTGCATCAGTTATAATCACCAAGAAGAGTTCCACTCAGAGTTTTACTTGTAGTAGTCTCCCCTCTATATAGGAGATAAAGCAACCAAAATGATTTTTTTTAGGTTAGAGTCACTTCCCCTGTCAGATTTTGCATATGCTTTGCAGCCCATAGATTGGACACTAATTTCATTGCTGGTAGTTCCTGTATTGCAACATCGGTAAAGTGTAGGCTTTGCAATGGAAAGGTCACGAGTTTAATTCTTACACTTTTCTTGTTTTTCTTGAGAGGTGTACCAGTATTTCTTTGTTAATAGTATTTCCAATTAAAATTTTCTCAAGTGCATAAATTCTCATTACAGACTTGAGATGGTCATGGTAGGCAAATGGAACAGATTCAGTTTGAATGGAAAGGAATTTTACTTAAATATATATGTGTCAGCTATGATTGCACAAATTGAATAAGTATTTACAACAGATATGTTTTACAATATTTCCTACTAGCATTCTCCATAAATTCACACCGTACAATCGTCCCCATCTAAATTTCCCACAGGCTTTGGACCTTACATAGATAATTCAGTGACATAAAATAACAATGCAGTAAACTCTTGTCTATACTGGACTGTATGATCAGGACTTTTGTCTACAATTGCCAAAACATTTGGTCCCATCAATGTCTATTAAGTAAATCCAAATCCTCTGCAACAAAGGCAAAGTATGTGTTCTCAAGGTGTCCAGTGTAAATAGAGTGTAGTACACTGTGTATGTAAAATTCTAGTTATCAGCCGTCATTAACTGGAGCTACAGGTGGGCTTGTACAACTGTAGAACATTGTCCTTCACTGTCTGGTACTCTGCCTCGTCTAGCTGAGCTGACCTAATGGTATCATTGACGGTCTCCTCTGTAAGCCCCTCATACATCTCAGCAACTAAAACAGCAGTCGAAAAGTTATCTCGGGACTTTGTTACAAGGTATCGCTAATCAGTACTTAATTAATCCCCCCACTGATTCAAATTAGGAATAATATATTGTCTGGATACACTCTTAAATATTTTCCTTTTTTTTCAGTTACTTTAATCACCTTTAGACTTAAACAAATCTATTCCAAATTTTCTCTTTGCACAAGGTGTGTTTGTAAGGTTTGCCCATGTTAAAGAGTTATCTCTGCAGTGTTTGAGAGATTTTTCTGAGGTACCTACTTTTGATAGGTAGGTGTCCTGCCAGCTCCACCACTGCCACATTAAAACATGCCTCTTCCTTCACACCTGGATAATGGTATCTTACTTGTTAAACATACACACTTTTACATTGGATAATGATACTTAATTTACATCATCAGTCATCTGGACTTAATCTTAAAGTAAATTTTGGAATAAACATATAAAAAAATAATCTATATACAGTAATCCCCCTTTACCTTCCACCTGGATATAAGTGTAGCACAGTTGGGTCAGGACATTTCCATTGACCAATTTGTTAGAATGATAGTATGACAATCTGATAACTAGGGTTCAAATCCTGGTCTACCCCAGCAGAAATTTTACATTCAGAACACTTTTGTTGATTCTGTTTTGTTTATCTCATCTTTATTGTTTCTCATTAATGTCCCACAAGGTATGGCTTTCTTTTCAGAAATGATTTATCAAAGCTGTAACAAGTCATACCAGAAAAAAAAATGAACACTTATTATAAGTTATTGGCAGTGGAAAGGGGATCATTATGTGGGACATATTTTTGTATTCCTCTTTTTTTCAACCTTCTTTTAAATCAAAATGCACCACGATTTATGGAAATGAAAAAAGCCTTTCAGTAATAAGCGTAAAACATCACCCGTAAAGTGATAGTTTGTGTACCTATAAACTTTTTCCTTGGCCACAAAAACAGCCTGATAGTCCTGTTCCGACTGGTCCTGTCTTCCCCAAACACTGTACCACGTGTCATAAACAGGTTGTGGGCTATCTCAGATCTCTGCATGTAATCTGCCACCAGGTATACCACCCTAAAATAAAAGTAACTAAGGTTAACAACGTAAACAAGAGCTATGTAAAGTCAGGCTTTCTGTATTCCTCTATCATTGACCTGTGTATATATGTCTAAAGGAACTGACCTGGAGATTGCTTCTCTCATTTATCTGTGTGTACGGATGAAAGCATTTACCTGGAGACATCCTCTACTGTTGATCCATGTAACTGGAACACAAATCCCTTGGTGGGCATGACCTCTAACTCGTACAGGATTCCCTTCAGGTGTTTCACAGGCTGTCAACATAACAATGTTTAACTGGTAGTTATAACAATCTCTATTGTGTCGGTTTAGCAATGAAAGGTCCCTAACGCCCAGTTCTAACTCATTTGGCAGAAAGATCCTGTTAGCTTATGCCTTAGTACAGTATTCATCATTATCTGTTTTGTCACAAACCTTTTCCTTAAACGACTTCCTCTAAGGAACCCTACAGCCTAGGAGGATACTATTTGACATACAGCTTGAAGAGGTGAGGGGATGCCAACAATATCAACATGACCGACATTTTTACCAACAATCCAGCTTAAATTTCCAGGTAAGCCATACATGCCCGAAATGCCAAGTGGATGGCATGTATACAACCTTATGTGGAGAGAAATTTCAATGCATGTTTTGGGTACAATTTCGAATATGTTGATTTATGGAAATATCATTGCAAATCTGCTCAATAGTTTAATAATTGTCATACATACAAATCCAATTTGAAAGAATGCCTCATTAAGTGCAACAATTCACCTTGGTATAATATCAGAACAATCCTAGAAAGCACTCGTATAATGTGTTTTCATGAATTTTCTCTTAAGCATGTATAAAGAAACAACGTGCAAATTTATGTTTATATCACAAACTCCACATCTAACAACATAGACAATGACTTACACAGGATTCCACAAACAGTTCTTGTTCTAGATAGTAGGCGTGGAGGTGTTGATGATTGACGGATGCAAAGGCACAGAGACTGTTGAACCCAATACGGAAGCCCCTGGAGTTATAAAAATGATACCAATATACTTAAACAGGTTTAATGTTCTTCCAAATACAAAACTAAACAATTGCAAGTATTTTCTTAAATCAGATGTCAAAACAGTTATTTCAAATATACAGTGTACCAGGTAACTTTCACCCAGTCAAATATCTGCCCTTTGCCGATAAAATCACTGTTCGCCCTGTGTATATTTTACCCTTAACATGTAATTACTATATATTGTATATTGTGTCCTTTAATTTTGTGTCATGACAAATTTGCTATCGTTGGGGTGGGCGAAAAAAAGGCAATAGTTAAATTACGGCGAAAATTTTCCGATATCCTGAAGTGCCATGAACTGCCAAAGGTGCATATGGAACCAATGCACACAGACTTACTGACGCATTCAAAGTATCTTTAACATACAACACCTGGAGCTTCCAGGTTTGTCCTCTTTGGTAGAACATATGATTACTATTTTAATTACCAGTATGGGCTGACAAAGACAATTTGAAGTAAATCATATGCCCTGTTGTTTGTGTCCAGATGCGATAGCTTTTTTCTCTGGTGTCTTGTTACAGGAGAGCTTAAACACATCACTCTATAGAGATCCAGACCTCAATCAAAAGACTTTCTGGTCTCCAAAATAGGTCATTGTGCCTACAGAGGCTCCGAAAAGAATAGGCCAGTCTTGACTCCCTTACAGCTGAACGAGCTCCTTATGACTTGTCTTATGATCAAAAAGTTACTGTTTGCAACGAATGGTACTCTTCACAAAGTCTGGGTGCTACCAGTACCTTAATTGCAAGCACCCTCCCCGTTCCTACGACATTTGCCAAAGTGAGGACGGGGCTTATTTGGGAGTTGGGTCTTATTCGTGGTCATATATGGTACATGTACTTACAACACACTAGACTGGTACTTACTGATGTCTACTAAGGAGAAGTGTCTCTATAGCCAGTTGTATAGAATACTCTGTCAACATCTGAAAAAAAGCCAGGACAAAAGTGTTCAGAAATTATAATTGTATATTATGTGATCATCTCTTACACTGTTTGCAATGTCAATATAAAGTTTTGGTGTTAGATTCCACTTTGTCTCCTATCATATTGCAAGAGAGAAGCAAAACATTGTGTAGTCTCCCATCACACTATCACATTGAGGTGGTATAATTGGAAAGCCAGTACACAATGCCAAATACAGAATGTTTCGTGAAAATTGGCAAATGTGTTAAGTGAAATTCTAATGCTTCATTTAAAAGGTAAACTTTGATTGTGAGACTTTAATTGACGAAAGAGAGAGAGATATACGAAATTAAAGATACCATGTGTTATAATAATGGAAGAAGAAAAGAAATTTTACAGAACTTGTTTCCCTTACTAAGACACTTAATATATCAGTTAATCATACACATCATTGGAAACCACATCATTGACAACTTGGTCTTTCAAGTTGATTATTCTTATACACCTACAGTGTTTTTCCTGGTGATTGTCTATGGGTTTACCGTTCAGTTTGAACACTAACATACACACTGTGTTAAAGTCGGATGGCGTGGTGGATAACACACTTGTCTTTTACCATAGCAGCCAGGGTTTGATTCCCGGATTTGGCGTAAAAAGACATGGGGTCACCTGTCTGACCATGAGGGTTTTCTCTAGGTACTACAGTTTCCTCCCACATGAAGACCCCCACCACACTCTAACATCCAGGCCAACAAGAGTTATATAATATAAGTTGATTAACTTGTTTCATAATTGTTGTAAAATAAATAAAGTTAATATTTTACACTGTATTTGAGTACATGAACCCAGGTAGGTTTCATTCTAGTCTGCCAATGCCAACTAGCTTCAATACAAATACCAGGCATCTACTGTTAGTGAAGTCCTTTCACATTATAAACTTCAAAATACCTCATACACTAGTCAATCATTATCTTGCTTTAATAAAAAAATCTTTAGTTCCAGGAAAATTTCTTTCATTCTAGATGAGTATCAATTGCATGTGTAACCTAGGGTCTGTGCAAGGTGATATATAGTATTACCATATAACACCAAAAGCCTGGTGTTTATTATAGATAAACCTGGGGTCTGAGTAAGTACACAAAATGTCTTACAGCGTACCTGGCCATGGCCATACTCTAAGGGAGTTAACAAACATTCTCTTTTGAGAAAATCCATTCCCAAATGGGACATTCAATCTTCAAGTCATTCTCAATTTTTTTCCAGTATAAGCATATATACTTTTAGCCCATGATAATGCATTTATTGTGGTACTGGTAGGTGTTATAAAGTAGTATATAGATGATAATGAATTTATTGTGGTACCGGTATGTGTTATAAAGTAGTATATAGATGATAATGAATTTATTATGGTACTGGTAGGTGTTATAAAGTAGTATATAGATGAGATGATAATGAATTTATTGCGGTACTGGTAGGTGTTATAAAGTAGTATATAGATGAGATGATAATGAATTTATTGCGGTACTGGTAGGTGTTATAAAGTAGTATATAGATGAGATGATAATGAATTTATTGCGGTACTGGTAGGTGTTATAAAGTAGTATATAGATGAGATGATAATGAATTTATTGCGGTACTGGTAGGTGTTATAAAGTAGTATATAGATGAGATGATAATGAATTTATTGCGGTACTGGTAGGTGTTATAAAGTAGTATATAGATGAGATGATAATGAATTTATTGCGGTACTGGTAGGTGTTATAAAGTAGTATATAAATGAGATGATAATGAATTTATTGTGGTACTGGTTGGTGTTATAAAGTAGTATATAGATAATAATGAATTTATGTGGTACTGGTAGGTGTTATAAAGTAGTATATAGATGAGAGGATAATAAATTTATTGTGGTACTGGTTGGTGTTATAAAGTAGTATATAGATGATAATGCATTTATTGTGGTACTGGTAGGTTTTATAAAGTAGTATATAGATGATAATGAATTTATTATGGTACTGGTAGGTGTTATAAAGTAGTATATAGATTAGATGATAATGAATTTATTGTGGTACTGGTTGGTGTTATAAAGTAGTATATAGATAATAATGAATTTATGTGGTACTGGTAGGTGTTATAAAGTAGTATATAGATGATAATAAATTTATTGTGGTACTGGTTGGTGTTATTAAGTAGTATATAGATGAGAGGATAATGAATTTATTGTGGTACTGGTTGGTGTTATAAAGTAGTATATAGATAATAATGAATTTATGTGGTACTGGTAGGTGTTATAAAGTAGTATATAGATGAGATGATAATGAATTTATTGCGGTACTGGTAGGTGTTATAAAGTAGTATATAGATGAGATGATAATGAATTTATTGCGGTACTGGTAGGTGTTATAAAGTAGTATATAGATTAGATGATAATGAATTTATTGTGGTACTGGTAGGGGTTATAAAGTAGTATATAGATGATAATGAATTTATTGTGGTACCGGTAGTTGTTATAAAGTAGTATATAGATGATAATAAATTTATTGTGGTACTGGTTGGTGTTATAAAGTAGTATATAGATGATAATGAATTTATTGTGGTACTGGTAGGTGTTATAAAGTAGAATATAGATGATAATGATGTTTACTGGGGATTACCTGGGGTCTGAATGAGTACACATCTGGTACTAACAGGACATGGCCATACTCCAAGGGACTGACATTAATGATAACCAGGTTCTGTGGCTAAAAAACAAAGATATTATATATAGATAACAATAACCCAAAGCATGATTAATATAAAAATACACAGACATGGTTTATCATATCAATATTTCAAGAATTGGACCTAGCATCATGCATAGAATTAAAATTAAATCAACACATTACAATAATTATACATGTATTCCTATAGAAGACTTGACAAGCATATAATTACATATATATATACTTATATCACATGCTCAAGCTTCTCTAAAGTGTAATACATTTATGATATGCAACATGTGTAATAACATTGTTATATCACAAGTAATAATGGGGCGACATCAATTATTAGGGTCGAAGGTAGAATATTATTTTCTGTTCCTTTTTGTAGATTATTTTTTGACAAACTCGTCATTTGAAGTGGGTCATGCCACTCTGTGATAAAAAAAGATGTGTTCCTATTTAAAGTATGAATACAATTAAGCTAGCTGGAGATTGTTGCATAAAAAATATGTGAAATGTTAACGTGTCTTAGATCCTCTAGAACATGCTCATGTAAAATACCAATTACACCCCGACTTTCACCTATTTGTTTCCTTGGGTACTACATTTGTACTACCTGTACCTGGTATCACACTCTATTCTATACCTACTTATATTTCCAGTGTATCATACACTGTTTTCCCCTGTACGTACCTCTTCATCCTTTGTACCGTTACACATTGCCTCTTCCACCTTGGGTGTGTCTGGAGGACTTTTGGTCTTTTTGTCCAAGAGGAACAACACTTCATTAGACTTGATGCGAGAGAAGTTGAAGAGGTTTTCGTCAAATGGTTGATTCACAGTTATGATTTCCTGAGGCTTCCTTCTTTCAGTGGCTCTTTTTACATTAAGCTACAAATGATCATATCAGGAAACATGTTATTAGACAGTCAATGTATGAAAATAACATCATTTTTCAAATAATGATTTTAAAGGGAGATAACTGTTATGAGGAAATACAAATATTACGATTTTCAAGGCTACTAAACTGATTTTAGTTCCAACAATGGGTTATTCCCACTAAAACTATGGTCATACTTTTCCCTCCTTTGTTTCATAACAGTCACCCAAACATTTTAAGAACAAATTTATAAATCTAGAGTGTTTTCTTGTCACAGTTGTGACTCAATCAGCTCCCAAAGGAACAGATGTCTGGAAATGCGCGAATCAAAAATATTTATAAGTTAACAATTGTTTTGGAATGTATTATTGACGGGCAGTTGGAATAAAAATCCTCCCCTGTGGTGAGGGTATACCAGAGAATCTCAACTACTGAGGTGATATCTTTAAGCAAGCCTAGGATAAGGTAATACAAATATCAACCCTCTGGTTGAGATATTTCTCTATCATACCCGGCCCTCACAGTGACAGTACCGCAGTAGAATTTATAAGTCACAGCCCTCACGGTGGCAGTACCGCAGTACAGTTTGTAAGTCACCAGTATCCTAAGTGGTTCAGCTCAAAGTAAGAACAATTACCTGTGCTACATATTTTTTCTCCCCTGGAATGATTTTGGTTTCCACCTTATCAAGGTGATACCTGAAGAATCCATCCTTCATACACTTATCCCACTTTCCTCTCAGCAATTTGTCAAACTGCAAATCAATCAAAATAGCACAAGGTCAGTTTCGATTTTAATATTACAGTAATATTTTAACAGGACAAAAATTTAGTCAAACACTACCAAGATAGATACAGATAAGAATTAAAGAAGACCACAATGATTTATGCACCGGTAAGTAAATTGTGGACCTATACTGACCACTAAATAATGAATACCCACCTCACTGAGATCATACTCCTTGTCATCCCAGTGTTTAGTCCCAGTAGTCAAGTCCTCATCACTGTAATGGAAAGGCTCCACATCCTGAGAGGAGAAACAAAAATAATATTGATGTCCGATATCTATACATATTCATCTTATAGAAATACATTGTGTAAAGATGAGCTATATTCCAGCAACCTGTTTCTTATTATAACCTGATCAACTAACTGCCTTAATGAGTCTATCAAACACCACAAACAACTGTGCACACCTGTCCCAAATGAATGCTCAGATGTGCTAGTGTAACAGAAGATGTCAAATGTAAAGGGTCCAGACTGGGATTGAAACCTAAAGACCTCGACACTCTAAGGCTATCTGGTTTTGGGTAGTCCTGTCCCACTTAATCCTGCTTGACACTCTAAGGCTATCTGGTTTTGGGTAGTCCTGTCCCACTTAATACTGCTCTCCTTTTTCTTTCTCCACCCAGCAGCTACTCCCTTGTTTTGATCATGTTTGAAGTAGTCGCTGTTGACATATCTATTGGTGCAGCGGCAGAAATAGCTTCTGATGACAAGACATTTTTTTTTTATATTTTTTATCGCCAGACCTATAATGGAGGAGAGACAAATTTTCCAACATGGCGGTCAATTCAGATTTCAATTACCCTTGCTACGTTAACTTGATAATTTAACGACATTATAGGCAGAACTTCAAGTTATTTAGGATATCAACAGAAATAGTTCATATTATAAACCTATTTATGAATGCGGACCAATGTTCTGTCAATTAATTCTAAAATCACCCCGGAGTAATTCACTAATGGGCTTGCTCCATTACAAGGCATATGGGATCGATTTAATACCCGGCCGGGTACTAGGGCCTAGGGACATGTAAGATTCTTGCAATTTGCAACCCCTTTTTCTGGTATCCCCTAACCAAGCATTCACACTGTACTTGAAACAATGATTTGTCTGACACGGCGCCACTGCAACAGGAGAAGAAAATGCACTAATTTAGAAAAGTGCACACCAAACCGTGTCAAACCCCAATGGGACCCTATGTGGGACTTTCTGACTATCTCAATCCAATAAAATAATATATAAATAAATTAAAAAAAAAAAGCGGTGGTCAGTCGTTTCGGACTAGGCCAAAGGCATCTGCGTCTGGTATGTAAATGCGTACAGATATGAAATAGCCGTCCTTCATGATCCTTTTTGTGTTTGTCTACATTTGTGTGATGTTTTGCTGTTGTTATAATGTGCCGAATATCTTTTATCTAAATACCGAAGCGTCTTTTACGCATGGATACCAAAACCTCTCTGTGCCGAAATGCCATCATGTATCGGCACACATAATCACAGCACTCTGTGCTACACCAAAGCCAAATAACACTTGAATTACACGTTTGGATGTTGAAATGAATTGCCACTTTACCTGGAATACGCCTGTTTGCATACTAATTGGTTGACAGGACAGTGCACGTGTACATTTGTCTCTCACTCGGCAAAACAAAACATGTCAAATCTGAGTCTGACTTGCGTTTGCAGCTATTTGTGTCTAAATCACCTAAAAGGAGACGATTCTAGTCCGGAATCAGAATTATTACTTTTTTAACATGCATTTTTAAGACAGTTCTTTTCTAAGCGTCTCTATCTAAATCTTTCCTTAGTTATTAATCTGCTTTTTTAGTAAAATGCCCGAGTGAAATTAATCATCAATATGTTAATTATGATTTAGTTTATTTATTGAATGAATTTTCTTAAGGAAAAAGATTATCCTAGTTTGGTTTCTAGCAAATAAATATACAACTAAACTTTTATCGGAATAAAACTTGAATTTTTCAACATAAACTGATTTTCTTAATATAAACAAATAGAAATGTTAATTATGCAATCTGTGAGTGGGAAGGATATGATCATCTTTCTGTAGAGTAGTTCATATATTCACAAATAAAATCAAGTGCTATTTATATGAAATTAGTGCATAAAAAAATCAGCATGAACACTTTCATAGATATAACCACGGACTTAGATAGGTAATCTAAGTCCGTGATAGATCTTTCTAAAATCTAAAAAGAAAGTTTCTTGTCTTGAACGCATTAAAATGGGAGTTTATACTTTGTGTGTGTGTGCAAACGTACACTATACAAAAATGTATAATTAATAAAACCTTCTTTAACTGTAACATATGTGCCCTGAGTATGGACCACTGACCATACAGGAACAAACGTCTCTGTCATGGTTCGCTGACCTATTTAATTGATGCGATATCAATTTAGTATATATATATATTCCACATGGCATGGGGGATGGGTTGTGACTTGGGCAGTAAAATAGAACTAATACACAGCTGGAATCACCGGTCAAGAAATAAAAATATCCAATTCAGATGGCTCAGGTGAACCTTGTTACAACTGATATAACCTAAAGGATAAAATATTGATGTGCTCATGAGGTTACAGTGCGCACACCAAACGGAGCTTGGGAGGTGTCGCAGGATAGAAACAGTATATCATAGCACGGATTTAGATTATGTAAGTCTGATAGACTCAGTTAACTAACGGTTTCACCGCTCACGACAACGCTATCGTTATTGCTATCACTTGCCAATGTATATCAATCATGAAGTCTAATGGACACCCTCTTGCTATTGTGTGTAGTCCTGTGCCGCCCCTGCGTTTCACATCCATCGTCATATTTTATCGATTCTGACCAGGAATAACGATTACAAGATTTGTAACAATGTACAAGATATGTCAGTGCCGCCGGATACTATTTTGGCTCGAATGTACATTGTAATATAAATTCTTTTACCAAACTGAGACAGTCTTACACAGAGATGAAACCAACAGCCAAAGCTACCAATAGAGACCAGAAATAACTTTAGTTACGCCAACGAAGGGACAGAAAAAGCTAGGCAAATATAGACACAGAACCATCAACTTTTGTGACTTTGTTTTAAAACAAGTAGTATTAGACTTGTAATTCCTTTCCTCTAAGATAGATTAAATCTTGTATTGGAGGGTATCGTAGAGGAGCGGAATTGACAGTCTAATTTTAATCATATATACAAGCTCGTATATATATATATATATGCAACGGTGAGCAGTAATGGTTTATTTTAGCTGTGATGTCTGATATGACATGTGATGGAATTCTTCAGAAACACTAGCTATGAACTAGTGAAAAGGACATTGTTATTTTAGGTTAGTAAATAAATATCAAGATGTGTGCCAGACAATGCAAAATATATTACTGGTGCCGAGACTAATATATGGACAACCATTGATAGTTTATTATTTGAACCACGGAATTAGATTAGATGCTATCTAAGTCCGTGTTTGAACAAAGGTCTAAAGCATTTTTACCATGAACTCGTAGTTCACTTTGATAACATGACGTCACAGTTAGCGTTTGTATCATGACGTCCGGCATTTGTACCAATGTAATCATTGACGTCATAATAGCTCCGCGCGAATTACCTACACAGTGGTTGTCAAGGGAGAACTGTATAATTCTGCAATCATGTCGCATACATGTATGAACCCACAGCAAACTATGGAAGTAACGATGGCGGCGAAACAGTTGTTCAATGAACATTCCTACACATGCAGACAAGAGCCCATGGAGTGCACGACGCCCAAGCCAAACACACATCTATCCTTCCCCATCGTGATACATGTGAATGAACGTGAGGGCGTGGACCCTAGCACGGGCTATCCCCCACGGACCTTCTACGTACCCTGTCATCGAGGCGAACTGCTATACCCTCACTGGCTTCACGGTTTGCTGGACCGCGACCTCCGGTTCTACACCACCTTAGATCAGGACACGGCTCATGCGGCTAGCGTGTTCCGAGAAGGACAGTTGTTGATTCAGAAGCTGAGGTCCATCTCAGCGACGCTTTCGTGGGATCGAAAGAACCCGGTGGGTCTAAAACTCACATTGGCTGAAAACCATGGCAATTGTCGTCTGCCACAGAGACGGCGACAGAAGGGTCTCCTGGCTGACTGTGTGTTATTGGATAACAAATGCGATTGTGTAGCGATCCAAGGTATGTTTGGACAAATGGTACCGTGACCAAGATATGGATTATGTTGCAAATAACTTTACAAAAATATGCTGTTGATCTGCAAAGGGTGGTTCTTCGTAGGTATATTGTGCGTACATGCGTCCACCAAAGCACAGGATAAAATATTAGAAAATGTTAAAAGCTTGGTGAAAATATCTTCTTTATAATCACTCAATGTATTGCCATACAGACTTCCGGAATCTTTCCGCGGTCTGTTTCTGCAATACTGTCAAGGCACTGCTGATAACTGCTGTTTGTTGCATATAGAAATAACTAAAGCAAATTAATATACAAGTCTGCAAAATTTTCGAGCTGACAGTGTTCAGTATTTGGGATATTTGCTTAAACCTTGAATTGACGATACCGATAGATGTGCAGTACCACGAAATTAGAGTGGAAGATTATATTAATACATTCCAAGTTCGTAGCAGTACTTTTTGAAAACGTAATAGAGTGACATTCGACCAAAAAGAACACCATCTAATTAAATATTAATTGTTTATAGAACTATCTTCGAACATTGTAACTAAATTAATCAAAACTACCCAAAAGGAACACATTGCTTGAACTAATTCCGACCTACCAAGGTAATGGAATTCGAAGGTCTGAAACAGTGTTAGCTTACAAAGGTTTCTCCGCAAATACCATTTTTCAGTATTTTTACTTGGTGATACTGCACAAACTATATTTTTATTATGTAAATCCAATGTCGTCACCTAATCTTACATGTATACATATTTAAAACAATATTATTATCGACATCCAAGTGTTTTTAAGTTGATTGAATTATTTTCATGTCAAAATGTCAAAACTTTAAGAAACTTGGTAAATATTTATTGCACGCAAATGCCAAAAGAAAAGCCCTTTTGAGCCAGTTAAATTTATATGTTTAATGTGAAAAAGGAATTATCCTCCACCATCTTGAATATTGTACTTTATTATGAACCATGTGTAATGTAACTGTATAACCTATATGCTGTATTGCATTTGGTAAATAAAAAACTTGAACTTGTATATTACTGAGACACAAGACAAGACATCGCGTAGCGGCCACATTGCCGGGGTTGACGATTAATAATGGGAGTTCCCATATCTCCTTATCTTGCGGGACTCGACCATGCTTTGAGAAATATGTCAGAACACAGACAAACATTTTAATTACCAGAATTGTAGGACCAAGCAATGAGCTAACCACTTCAGATGAGGGAACAGCTAATGTTTTGAACGATTATTTTGTGAGCGTCTTTGTAGAAAATGGAAACATTGAATAACCTTACTTTCGAATAGGAATTGCCAATCACCCCTCTCTGACATCAATGTGACAAAGGAAAATGTTGAAAAGCCAATCAAGAGGCTAAACCCTAACAAATTAGCTGGTTCAGACGGCTTACAACCTAAAATTTTCTTTGAAACATCTAACCAGATCTCTGAACCACTCAGAATCTTCTTCAACAAATCTATCCAGGAAGCTGAACTACCATCAGAATGGAAGATGTCTGTCCAATACACAAAAAGGCTCGACCAAACAAGCGGAAAAGTATCGGCCAATTAGTTTGACCTCTGTTCCCAGAGACAAATCTGAATCAAATGGAGCGTTATCGAGAGTACAGATTGTGACAAGCGGGGTCCCCCAGGGAAGTGTTATCGGACCGATTTTGTTTCTTATTTATGTTAATGAATAAAGCTATTTGCAGATGATGCAAAAGTATACTCAAGTATATCTACACCACTGGATAGGTAAGAGCTACAAATTAACATCAACAAAGTGTATGAATGGACCGAGAGGTGGACTATGAAAAGTTAATTAGCCATCTGGATACGCCGCAGTGGGCTAGTTCTAAATCGAGATGAGGGGCTCAAAGACTCTCGCACGTCTATGACCAAGTATGAAACAAAGCGTAGCTGAATCGAGTCATTTCGGTTCATACAGCGTGGCCGAATCGACATCGATTTTGTGGACAACTCGTACACATTTTACACCTTTGCGTGCATACGCTTCACTGGTCATTTGTCTGATGAAGGTGACAGTGTACATATCGTAAAAGAAAATCTCATTGGTTGTGTAAAAAGAACTTTTCATAATCCATAAAGGACTGAGAGGTGGCTCATGAAATTAAATTTACAGAAATGCAAACACATAATACATCCAGCAATAGCCAGTACGAACTTCACAAACGAACGAGTCACAACCATGATTGTAAAAACAGACAAGGAGAGAGACCTTGGAGTGACATTCGACAAACAACTCAAATTCAGCGAGAAGGTGTCTGCAGCCGTCTTCAAAGGAAACAGGATGTTAGGAATTATTTTTAGAACAGTTACATCTCTTAATCAATCAAAATTCCTATATTTCCTATTATTATACAAATCACTTGTCAGACCTCATAATGAGTACTGCTCCATAATATGGTCACCTCTCCTGAAGAAAGATTTACGATCACTGGAAAACATACAACGACGGGCAACTATAAAAGGTTAATTACATTGCAAGACTTACCTTACCCAGATCGACTAAAACGACTAGGATTGCCTACACTTGAATACAGAAGGCTGATATGATTCAAGTGTATTATTATGAATGGTGTGGACGATGCAGACAAGTCCAAATTATTTACCGAATCCACCTTTCCGGCATCTTGAGGTCACCAGAGAAAGCTCTATAAGAAACAATGCCGCTTAAACACCACCAAGAACAATTTCAGCAATCGTGTAGTTACCAACTGGAACAATTTATCAGCTGAAGTGGTTAACGCCGAAATTTTAAATAGTTTTTAAAATAGGCTAAACGTGCACGGGAAAAATCATGCACACAAGTTTTGTCCGTGCTTTTAATTTGATATGTGTATATATACTAATGTGACTGTTAGACTTAACTAGTCGAGACGTCCTGATATAACTTAATGTCATATGTTATTCATTACAAGCCACAGGCTTTGCATTTACCTACAAGATACCTATACTATGATAACTCTTAGTAATGGGACTTATGACGTTCGGGACTCGCATATACAAATCCTACAAAAACACGGAAGATAGGACAATTGCATGTACATTTCTACAACTGTGTACACGCCAACCCTAGTATTCACAATAGGTATGCAAGATATAATGAAAATCATAAATTGCACAAATTCAAAGGAAATAGACACATCTACAATATTGCATACACAGAACACGCGTCTACTTACCTGATAAAGATCCCAGTTCTCATCAATAAAACTTTCGAACATAAAACGTTTTCTTCGGGACCTATTCATTTTAACCGGTATAGACTCCGAACACTGAGAAATTATCGACTAACCTTTATGAGGGAAATGCATCATTGTCATCAATTACCGGAAAACCGTTCGTTTCCATGGGAGCAAACATATACACAGTTGTCGTGCACGTGATACATGTGTATCTTGTCATCAGATCTTAATAGTTAGCAGTTGATATACCCACGGACTTAGATTATCTAAGTCCTATACCGTAAACTTTACAGTGATCGCAAATTCCTGTGCTATTTACGGTTGCAACCGCGTTCCTGTTAATTTTCAATTGTGACCAGTTCTTGTTAAAATTGTGACCAGTTTCTGTGTTGTTTACGGTTGTCGCCACGTTCATGCGTAATTTGAAGTCCTTGGTTACATTCATGTTGTCACAGACAGTTTCTCTGTTAAGTGTTTATGGTATTCTATTATAATTGCAGGCAAGATGTTCTCGCTGATTATCGGGATGCCGTTTCCTGGAGACGTGATCCGTGATGTGGATGATCCGGGAATGAAGATAGATGTTGGGATGTTTTTCAGGGCACTTGATTGTGCTCCCACCGTCCGAGTCAAATGGTCCATATCACTCACACGTAGAGACATCCCGGCGCACGTGCTTGATGTTATTCGTGAACGGGAAGAGGAATTCGATGATTTCGATGATGACGACTCGACACTGGATGGTGACGAGTCCGATGAAGAAATGGAAGATGTAGAATTATAGCTAATCATTGATTAGCATCTTTGTTAAACATCCCCCGAAAAATACAAAACGAGAAGAATATTTCATTACAATACACATGCAATATAAGAGAAAACAACATAAAATGTAGTCTAATGTTTGATATCTTCGTCTTGGTTGTATTCAATGTTGTTTTTTCGTTTATTTGACCGTAAATGTGTAAAAATAATAAATAATTTCATAGAACTTTGTTGTAATGAAATGTGCGTCTCTGTCCCAGAGATGCTCCTCGCCAAAACCAGAGACGTAAAAAACTATGGGGCGCCGTTTTGGTATTTATTCAGAAAATGTGATATCATTAAATCGATTTTATAATATCATTAATTATTTTGTGATTTCATAAAATCTAATTTATGATATCATAAATTATTTTGTAATATTATTCAATTATAGCCTTTGGCTTCGGTCGATACCTGGATTTATCAACCCAAGAAAAGATATATTAACCGAGGACGCAGTCCGAATGTATAAATATATCTTTTCTCGGATCGATAAATCCAGGTATCGACCGAAGTTAAAGCTACAATTGTTTTATAATTTTCAAAACAGTGATGTAAGCAATCTGACAACAAAAATCGGAAGCGTGACAGTGCATTTTTTGGAGACACGTCATAATTCTATTCTTAGAAACACCAAGTCCTTCAACAAAAATCATGCGCTCCAAGTCAATATCGGTTTTTATCGGTGGACACGTGATGCACTCCTGGCAAATCACTTGTTGGGAATAATATGAAAAAATAATAACACTAATTATTTTATGATATCATAAAATCGATTTTATGATATCACAAATTCTTTTAATGATATCACAATTTCCATTTTATGATATCATTAAATCGAGCGATTTAATGATATTAAATCAAATTAATGATATCATAAATTCGAATATATGATATCATTAAAAGAAGTTATATCATTAATTTGATTCAATGATATCATTAAATTGCCCGATTTAATGATATCTTTAATTCGAATTTGTGATATCAAAAAATATATTTTTCTAAGGACTGCTCCCTCAGAAAGCGGATGTGGAATTAAAGAACGGTAATTCTGTTTGGATTGCCATTGGTGCCAATTTGACGAAGATGGATGGAATGGTAGCCAATGCTCTAAGAGCATTGGACAATGAAATTGAAGATGAGTTTAGGCCTAACGTTAGCGGTCTATATCGGAGAACCGTAGATCTGTTCAGACGAAAACGGGGTATGATCTATCAATATATTCGTTCTACATTATTCAGTACTTCTCGTCTCGGCAGCTCGGATCAGCACACCATTTAAGATAGACTATACATCTTTGTTGTCCATAGACTAGAACTGAGATGTGAAGAACTCATTATTTCGTGCTAACAGTTTCTTATTTTATGATATCATTAATTCAAATTCATGACATCATTAAATCAGGCTATTTTATGATATCATGAATTTGAATTTGTGATATCATTAAATCGATTTTTATGATATCATTAAATACGTCTATTTTATGATATCATAAAATGAATTTATGATATCATAAAATCGATTTAATGATATCACATTTTGTGAATAAATACCAAAACGGCGCCCCATAAAAAACGATCGTTGATACGTCATCGGATGACCCAGACAACAGTGGTTAGCGGTATTCTTGAGACAATTCCCAGAGTTTGGATACATTATGAGTACTCCCTTTGCACCATTGGCCATTTGATTGTATTACCTTCAGGGTTGGGGATGACGTTATACAAACTAGAACACTGACAGGTCAGTAAGGGCCCCGTCTTGTTGCAATATATCCCCCATAATCATCAAGAAGCGATCTGCCCATATAGCTGAGCTTGAAGTTTGACATTTGGACTTCAAAAAGAATTACAAGGAAGCAAATATACATTTTACATGTATTATGATGTGAGTCTAGTTTCCTTCCACCTCCATATTTGCTGGGCTAACAGAAATGTAAATACCAGTGCAACACTCATTTGTTAGCTTTGATTTGTTTTATTTCACCTTATGAACCTCCTCCATCAAGAGCCAGGGTCAAAGTCAGAGATCAACTTTGTCTTTGACCTTGGGACCCAAATGACCTTGACCATTAACCCAGTGACCCTGATCTTTGGGCAGTTGACTTATTCTTTAATTCAGACCAACTTTACTTCTTAACATCATAACAAAATGTTCATCAGTGAAAAATACAAAACTTGACCTTGACCCTTTGGACACTGTGACCTGGACCTAAGGTCAGTTGACTCTGTGTTAAGTTCTGAACAACATGGCTTCAAAATGTCATAAAAAAATGTTCATCAGGGAAAAGGTACCAAATTTAACCTTGACCTTTGACCCAGTGACCTTGACCTTTGGTCAATTGACTCCTTTTTTAATTCTGAGCAACATTGCTTCAAAGTGTCATAGCGAAATGTTCAACAGTGAAAGGATACAAAATTTAACCTTGACCCCTGACCCGATGACCTTGACCTTTGGTCAGTTGACTCCTTGTTAAATTCTGATCAACTTTGCTTCATAATGTCATAACAAAATGTTCATCAGGGAAAAGGTACCAAATTTAACCTTGACCTTTGACCCAGTGACCTTGACCTTGGTCAATTGACTCCTTTTTTAATTCTGAGCAACATTGCTTCAAAGTGTCATAGCGAAATGTTCACCAGTGAAAGGATACAAAATTTAACCTTGACCCCTGACCCGATGACCTTGACCTTTGGTCAGTTGACTCCTTGTTAAATTCTGATCAACTTTGCTTCATAATGTCATAACAAAATGTTCATCAGGGAAAAGGTACCAAATTTAACCTTGACCTTTGACCCAGTGACCTTGACCTTGGTCAATTGACTCCTTTTTTAATTCTGAGCAACATTGCTTCAAAGTGTCATAGCGAAATGTTCACCAGTGAAAAGATACAAAATTTAACCTTGACCCCTGACCCGATGACCTTGACCTTTGGTCAGTTGACTCCTTGTTGAATTCTGATCAACTTTGCTTCATAATGTCATAACAAAATGTTCATCAGTGAAAAAATGTCAAATTTGACCTTGACCTTTGAACCTCATGACCTTGACCTTGACTTTTTACCTCAATGTGTATTTTTGTGAACTGAACATCTTGGCCAAGTTTCATGTACATCTGTCGATAGATACCAAAGTTATCAGCCAGGAACAAAATTTGTGGACGGACAGACAGACAGAGTGATTACTATAGGGCACCCGTATCTCCGATACGGGGCCCTAATAAAGTCTTCTCATGAAGAACTATAATGCCGAGCTATTCCTGTTCATATGTAGAGAGAATGTTCATGTCATATCCCTAGGACTTACAATGGGCCACAATAAAAGGGACACATTAAGTAAAGCTATACCAATTCACGTCACTTAATTGTGTATTGGGTCCACTGCATCTGGTTGGGTGGGGCCAAACATTGGGAAATTTGTTTGCCTCTTTACATTAATTTCTTCTGAAGAACACTTTCAGTGTCAGAGCTTCTCTCTTTTATACGTAAAAAGTCTAGGCATGAAGAATACTGGTACCAGTTGTTCGTAACAATTCCCATGGATCCTCAAAGGGGGTCACAATAGGGGTCCATTAGTTATAACAGTTACACATGGAAAATGACATAACTGTTGATTTTTTTGGTCACATTACCCTTGGCAATGTCTTTTTATGACTTATCTACAACTATTTAAAAAAATCCCTACTTAATTTATGACCGAAATTCTTAGAAAATGGAGTCAAGATTGTTAAATGCAAATTAAAATTTATTCTAAATGAGGACCTAAATCCCTAAGGACAAGAGAGCAGCGGAAATTATGGCGAAATCACAGCAAAATTGAATATTAAGCTTATCTGACAGATGCTAAAATATCTGTCAGTGGCACAACTTTTTTTCCTAACTTCTTAAATCACACAAACAACTCTCTCCTCCACAGATGACACTTATTCCAGCAGGATAAGAAATCTTCTACAAAACCTTTAAATGTTTTGGTAAAATATCAGGTCTTTTTTTACACTAGTGACAAAAAAGTTAATTTGATATTTATTACCATAGACTAGTTGGAAGCTTAAATGGGTCAAAACAAATTCAGTCTAGTTGATATATACCGGTGAAGAAAGAGTTCTTCAGTTGATTTGAATACTTAAGTAGATTTGAATCGCACAAAATCCCTCGAGATGTAAATAGAAGCATAAATCATTGATCAGAAGAGTTCTTACTTCAATTGATCAAACAATAGTAGTTTATGTATTAAATTCAATTAATAGCACCAAATCTAAATTATCTGATTATTTCTATTTCTATGTGTTGTAAGTAGTGATACATAAATCCTAGATCTGCAGCTAGGCAGTTATACATACACAAATGATACCCCAGTCAAGGGCTGCCATGTTACTGGTAACCTTCTTAGTAGATGGTGTTGTAAATCGTCAAAAAGTATATAATTTAGGGATTCCTGGCGGACCTGCAAAAGTCTATGCAAGCCGTGCAAGTTTTTGTCAAGGCTCGCCTGAAAACAGCATCTGATTATTAGGTCCGACCTTATTTCATAAACGAACAACAGTGGTCACACCGGTTGAACTGTTTGGTTCGCGATAAACGAAAGTGGCCCAGATTCCTTTTGATAAAATCTATTTGTATTGTCTATTGTTTGCTCTAGCTACATGGGTAGGAACCCTCACAAGCTATATATATAACACTATTTACTGACTTGTGTAACTTGTATGAAGTTTTTTACATATTTGACTCTTCTGAACATAAACGTGGTTCATGAGTATCACTCATTTGAACAAATGTGATAGCTCTCTACTAATAGAAGCTACATAAGCCAAATAAAAATGTATCATGACTCTAGGTCTTATGTTTCTAAAGATGAAGTTTTTGAAAGTTTTAACACATCTGATAAAGGACATTGAAAACAGGTCATGGTCGTTCATTATCAACAAACAAAACAATTTGTCAAACATTTTATTGCACAAGTTGAAATAATTGTATTTCTGATTTGTTTTACACAAACAACATACACACACACACACACACTCATAATGTCACAATACTTACATTCTACATGTCTTGTGGAACTACACTTTGGTATTTATTCATTGAATATTCAATTAACAGAATTTCACTGGCTATACCTTATTTTATCAGGGTTACAAAGTCCGAGACAAAATACTCAATCTACTAGCAGTAAAAATAGGTGCATGATGTCTACAATATTAACATTATAAGACAAAGATGCTGGCCAACTTTTTTAGCAGAGAGAAAAACTTTAAGATCTGATTTAAAAATTAGCCTTTAAAAGTTCTTTTGGAATTACTCTGGAAGTTAAGGAGAAGTATGCCTGTGAAATCTGTAGCTAACTTGAGTAATCACCAAAAAGTAGTTCTAAGAGAAAGTGGAACAGACAGTGAAAGAGCAGATTAACTGAAAAGACGGTGGCAAATAAGGAACAGCTTGTACAGACTGTATAGGTAGCAGAGTACAGTAGAAATGGCTTGACCCTAAAAATAAAGGGCATGTCTCGGATAAACATGGATAACAGATTCATCCTGCACAACACACCTACAAATATATATATATTTATAAACTACATTTTGAATACGTTTTTTTTAGAAGAATGAATATTTTTTTCAAAAAGTGATTTCCCCAGATTTGGGACTTGTGAAAACCATGGTTACCACATCAAAAAATGCAAAAAAACATGATTTTTAACCCACGCAAGTAGTATTTTTTTCTTAAAACCTGTCTTAAATTAAATATCACCTACTCAGTCACAGATACTTACATTTTAGCATAGGTTGTCAAACTAGATTTTTCACAATATTTACACATGTGCCGTATACAAAAATAGACTACATGAAAATCTAGCTTTTGTTGTGTAGACACAGATTCGTAAATGGCCAAAAATGTAGTCTCAAGCCAAATTCGATTTTTTTTTATTAAATGTGAAGCCCACATAGTCCAATTCATCATGTATATGCCAATTTTAGAGCTGATTTTTTTTTTTTAACTTCAGATACATGTAATATTACAGGGGTTATTTATTGTACAAAAATATCACCGTACGCTACTGTACACTGCTACCATACCCTATCATTAACACCCAGATATCTGATGCAAAGTCATTCTCATATTATCCTTTTGTCAACTTGCAATCCAATGGTACGCAAGTACCTTTGTTGAAATGTCTTCAAGAAAATAAAATCATCTATTTTAAACAAAATGATATGATTTAGTTTGATAGGAGTAATATGGCATTAACATTTTTAAGAGGATACACAGTATTCTATTCTGATAACATCATTTCACACATGACAAGTCAGCTAAAATGCAATCCATAGACAGACTCATTACTGATAAACAGCACAATTAACTCAACCCCAATACAATGGGGGCAGTGGGACATGATTAAGCACTAGTATAAGTTAATGCATTAGTAATTGATTTAATTTCAAATTTTAACCAGGTAGGAATCACTGACAGTCATACACCTGACCCAGCGGTGGGGAGTGTTGTTGGGGTCTTGTACAGGAATGTGCAGGAACCTTACTTTCAGTCCAGAACAAGTATATTTAGATATTTCAAACTCCACAACCATTGGCCCTAGTTCTTGTTTGTTCAGTTTCCCATTGCCTTGATTGATCACCTGGAAAAGGAGAAACACATATTAAGAAACCCTAAAATCAATATTTTTTTTAAATTTTATTTTTAATTTTATTTTTGCAAATGCAGAGAAACAAACTGAAATAAGCTATAGGTTAATATGAATCTAGCATAAATTTCTAAATACTATAAACAAGATACACTGTACACAGAATTTTATGTTAGTTTCATTAAAGAGACCTAGCATGTAAAACAAAGAAAATTGCTACATGTTGATAGTTACGGGTATCTTACCCGAAATCGAGCCATTACTTCAGTCTGTCCTGGAAGTTTCTTTATTTTCCAAATAATATTCTTGTTGTCAATCTTTTGTCTCAGTTCTGCCATCTGCCCTGGGCCGTCTAGGTGTTGTGAAACACTGCATTTATATTCATAGAAAAGGTTAGATCATCAACGCCAAAGGTTAACAAAAGTAAAAGTCAAGGTCTCCAATGCTAAACTTAAAAGTCAAATACATTACAATGCAAATCAAAATGAAAATCAATAGTATAAAATTCACATGTATGCTGGCATTTACAAATTATTTATTGCACCATTGAAGTCATACAATAGCAACAATGACAAATACAGAAACTGATCTGGGGATTCAAGAAGCAATCAGGGTTTCTTGTTTCTCAATGGGAAAAGTGTGAGAAATGCACATCTTATAATGATTTGGTCATGGAACCCTAAAATGGTAACTTGTTCATTTGATTTAAAAAGTGGACACTTGTGTCTACAAGTTGTAACAAAGTCTGACTGAAAATGAGGAGTAGAGCAATGCCAAACATTACCTACTGTATTAACATTCTGTTATCTTGATCTTAGGCTCAGGATCATGATAAAGAACTTGTTTGAGGTATCAAGTACTAAGCATGGTGTTCAGTTTCACCCCTATCTGATAGAAAAAGAGGACGGTAGAACTATGGCAATCATTTTCTATATATAATAAGAGAGACCTCAATCTTTCTGCCCTGAAACACAAACTCTTTCCAAGAATCAAGGATATTGGTAGTAGAATGATGACAACCCAATTTTAAGGTATAAGCATATACTGACAGACATGAGCAATGCTGTCTATATATCATCCATTTTCATGGATAGAGCAAAATAAGAGGCCCAATGGGCCTGCATCACTCACCTGGTATTAATCTCACACTTGTAATCTTAAAAGTGGACTAAAATACAGCTACAGGCAGAATATCAGTGTTTGATTCATAAGAACCTATAAAAAGATTTAAACATATGACGCCTGTGACCTTGAATGTCGAACAAGGACATCAGGTTAAAAGTGGATCAAGGTCATTCATTTGAACAAACTTGGTAGTCCTTCATCCCAGCATGCTACAGGCCTAATTTCAGTACCCTGGGCCTTTTGGTTATTGAGAAGTTGTTTGAAGATTTTAAAACATTTGACCCCTGTGACCTTGAAAGCTGGTCAAGGTCATTCATTTGAACAAACTTGGTAGCCCTTCATCCCAGCATGCTACAGGCCCAATATCAGTACCCTGGGCCTTTTGGTTATTGAGAAGAAGTTGTTTGAAGATTTTAAGACATTTGACCCCTGTGACCTTGAAAGTGGGTCAAGGTCATTCATTTGAACAAACTTGGTAGCCCTTCATCCCAGCATGCTACAGGCCCAATATCAGTACCCTGGGCCTTTTGGTTATTGAGAAGAAGTTGTTTGAAGATTTTAAGACATTTGACCCCTGTGACCTTGAAAGTGGGTCAAGGTCATTTATTTGAACAAACTTGGTAGCCCTTCATCCCAGCATGCTACAGGCCCAATATCAGTACCCTGGGCCATTTGGTTATTGAGAAGAAGTTGTTTGAAGATTTTAAAGACATCTGACACCAGTGACCTTGAAAGTGGGTCAAGGTCATTCATTTGAACAAACTTGGTAGCCCTTCATCCCAGCATGCTACAGGCCCAATATCAGTACCCTGGGCCTTTTGGTTATTGAGAAGAAGTTGTTTGAAGATTTTAACATATTTGACCCCTGTGACCTTGAAAGTGGGTCAAGGTCATTTATTTGAACAAACTTTGTAGGCCTTCATCCCAGCATGCTACAGGCCTAATATCAGTACCCTGGGCCTTTTGGTTATTGAGGAGAAGCTGTTTAAAGTAAAAAGTTGACGCCGGACAGAGGGACGACGGACGCCGCACCATAACATAAGCTCACTTGCCCTTCCGGCAGGTTAGCTAAAAATGGACAAGATTTTTTTTCTTCTAAAGCATCAGTGCCTGACTTGATCTGCCAATGAGCTCTATATCACCCAAACACTTGGTCACAAATTTTTTGCATTACATCTAGCGAAAACCTAAACGAGATTAAATCTGGATTACAAAATGTAATTACATAGATAGACTGACCTGGTAGTGTTATGAGGTACTGGTATACGCACACAGACATTTACTGCCTGTGTGTTCACTGGGGATTCACTCTTCAATCGCACGGTCAGGAGCATGTCTCTGAAAAAGAAAAGTACCAGAAGGCAAGTGCCTGGGTCAATGGCAATGTATGAAGAAATAAAGAACACTTGCTAGGAACTTCTTCAAAAATTGTTAGTGCTAAGAACCTTTTTGAAATGTATGCTAGGGCATGTCTCTAGTGTCACCATCAAAATCTTTTTCTTGCACACAGTAATCGTGATATGGTATGAAATTTGATCAGAAAGTTTCTTATATATAAATTTCCTTTATCTACAAAGTGATTCCTGGTCTACTGCAGTTAACTTTTGAAAATGTATCGCTGTACATTTAACCATCCATAATAAGCCCAAGTTACATCACTATCTACTTATACCTACTGACTGCTGTCTGTGTTGTCCACAAATGGTGAGATCCTGAATGGTGGACTGAGGGCACCTTCTCCTGACACACTGTATGTCATCAAGGAAAGCTAAAACAGACCGGATGTATAACTACCATAAATGTAAGAGAGATATTTGTCTAGAACAAGCATTAGATTACTTAAGACATTAAGTAAATTGTATTGATTTTTAAGGACAAGTAGTAACACTAATACCTGGTAGCTTTATTTCTATATTGTCAGGAGACAAAAATAGTATACTAGTTATTTGTGATTTTGTATGACAAATAATTTAAAATGATTCATACAAACTCATTTAAATTATGCACTTTCTTTTTATTTGTGCAGTGAAAAATTACATTATTAAGATCTTGGAAAAAATATTTCCTTATTAAGATATGCAACATCAAATACGATATCTAGCAAAACACATGGCAATATCTATTTTTCTACAGATCAATATCAAAGGTGATGTTATTTACTGTATTATAACTAAGCTTAATCAATCTCCAATATGACGTATGCAATCAGTTTTGAAACACAGATACCTAGATTTTCACTGACCTCTCCCACAGACGGCTGTATCTTTCAACACCCTAGATTTTTACTGACCTCTCCCACAGACGGCTGTTTTTTTAACACCCTAGATTTTTACTGACCTCTCCCACAGGCGGCTGTTTTTTTAACACCCTAGATTTTTACTGACGTCTCCCACAGACGGCTGTTTTTTTAACACCCTAGATTTTTACTGACCTCTCCCACAGACGACTGTATCTTTAACACCCTAGATTTTTACTGACCTCTCCCACAGACGGCTGTTTTTTTAACACCCTAGATTTTTACTGACCTCTCCCACAGGCGGCTGTTTTTTTAACACCCTAGATTTTTACTGACCTCTCCCACAGACGACTGTATCTTTAACACCCTAGATTTTTACTGACCTCTCCCACAGACGGCTGTATCTTTAACACCCTTGATTTTTACTGACCTCTCCCGCAGACGGCTGTTTTTTTAACACACTAGATTTTTACTGACGTCTCCCACAAACGGCTGTATTTTTAACACCCTAGATTTTTACTGACCTCTCCCACAGACGGCTGTATCTTTAACACCCTTGATTTTTACTGACCTCTCCAACAGACGGCTGTATCTTTAACACCCTTGATTTTTACTGACCTCTCCCACAGACGGCTGTTTTTTTAACACCCTAGATTTTTACTGACCTCTCCCACAGACGGCTGTATCTTTAACACCCTTGATTTTTACTGACCTCTCCCACAAACGACTGTATCTTTAACACCCTTGTTTTTTCTGACCTCTCCCAGACGGCTGTATCTTTAACACCCTTGATTTTTACTGACCTCTCCCACAGACGGCTGTATCTTTAACACCCTTGACTTCTCAAACTCCTCCAGTTTAACTTTCTGATGAAATGAACAGTGGTCCAGTTGTACTTGGTCACCATAGGCTGGAAAGTTCAGGGGAAAAAAGGAACATGACCAAATACATTCAAGAGGTTCAATGTGTCTATAAATTGTACATTTATACTGGTAGCTTCTAATAGCATATGTACAAGTAGGAATATTTATAACATGATTAGGTTCCATTTTGATTTGGAAGGTTGTGGCTATACTGATGAGAACATGAAATTTGGTTTAAAATCGAGACCGAGTGTAAATATTTGATAGAGTAAATGAACAGAAACGGCAGATAAGGACGTTTTTCGTTATTCAAGTGGCCATAACTCCACCAAATAAAGTCCACTAAAAGTGGTCATCGAACTTGGCTGAGCCCTTAAGGCATTTAACCCTGTTACCAAGTTTGAAGAAAATCGCTAACATCTGTTGCAGTGATTGCACGGAAATGGCAGATAATGATGTTTTTCGTTATTCAAGGGCCCACAACTCCGCCAAATAAAGTCCGCTGAAAGTGATCATCAAATTTGGCCGAGTCCTTAAGGCATTTAACCCTGTTACCAAGTTTGAAGAAAAATGATTGACATTTGTTGCAGTTATTGCACGGAAACGAATCATGACAGACAGACAGACGGACAAACCCAAATTAATATCCCCCATTTCGATGAAAGCGGGGGATGAAAAGAAAACTTCAAGGGGAGGGCCCTTTGTTATCATACTAATATCACTTGTGATATAATGATACTAGTGAAATATATTTTCTTAAGGACAGAAACATGAATTCGGATGCTGTATAAACCAGGTATTCATTAATTTGCAAAATGCAAATAGAATATAAAAGTTACAAAGAGCATTTAAGACATTCAGTAGAATAAGGTACATGGCAACATATAACTCTTGTCATGAAAAGCCATTGTAAATTAAGTGTCACCTTTGAGAGCCCCTGCCTTGATGGCAAGATCCTCGTTGAGACCAATTTTAATTTCTGGACTGTCAGAAAGGAAATTCTTCATGTTGATGCTACCATTGGCCTCAAGGCGGGAAACTGTGCCCTGTAGGGTGTGAATGCATCAAAATGACCTAATTAATATAGTTATGGTGATATTGAACTTTGACCTGTCTATGCCCAAAATACACTCATTAAAAACAATATGGATTTTGGTGATGGAATTGAATATAGAAACGTATGGAATGTGATCCATCACCCTGATAATAGTGAGTTGGTTCTTTGACCTTTCTCATTTTCCATAATGCCACAATTCTCTCTTCTAAATCTGAATAATGCAGGGCTTAATGATTTATTTTCATTATGCAATTTTGTAAATAAAATGAAATTACGGAAAAGAAATTATTTTATTATTAATGGACAGGTGGACGGACAACACAACACATTGTTTTCCCTTAATTTATATGGTCAATTTCTAGATAATGTTACTTACATCACTATTGATTACAGCTGTTAATCTTTCAATCACGTCAACAAAGACCTCATTCTTCTTGTGTTCCTGGAGAAGAAGTATTTGTTGCATATTGATTATTAATTAGTACACATGCTCATTATATATTATTGGCAAAATAAAAATAAAAGAAGAAAAGAATATGTATTATTTTTTGGCATGGTGTGATAAAGCATATAAACTCATCTACTGTATATTATTATTAAAGTATTTCCGAAGAACACAGTGAAATAATAATTGATGTTTATGTTGGATGGCACTGAACATAACACACTACTGGGAATAAACACTATGAGAACCTGAACAGTAGCAATTGACCTCAATTTGCTCATCTTAAATTATTTTGTTGTTTCTTTGACTTCATATGAGTGATTAAGTGTTACATTGGAGTGATGGTATCTTCCTTTATGCATGTAACTAACAATGATTGGCATGTTTGGAATATCAACAGTTAGGATGAGTTACAATGTATTTTTCCTTTGAAACAGCATGTTTTTGCAAGTGGGAATGAGTAATGCATTATTCAAAACATTGACACAATTCTTAATAATGTCAATAACATTGAATGTTAATTAATCGGTAGTAAATTTTCCTTAAAATGTCTTCACAATTAAACAGGTATAGAGGACAGGAAGTTACTGTAAGAAAACATGTCCTTTGTATAGATGAAGTTGTACAGAGGAATAATTACATTTGCATTAGAGATATGGTCACTTAATACTGTGGTTCAATTATTCCTGTTTGACAATAACAAGGAAGATCTATTATAACACTTTGGTATGAGGATTCAGTTTTTCAGAGAAACTCACCGAGTCAGCAGAGGAGGATACCAATGGTTTGCTGGAGGCTGATCCTGGGGTTACTTTCATCTCAATACCAAACTAGAATGACAGTGGCAAGACGTAAATACTAGTATATATTGTCTTCATGCCAAGAATGATATCAAAGAGAAATAGAATGTATTAATTTGGTAAACCCTCCTGGGCTCAAACTTTCAAAGTAAACCTATCAAAAGTTAATTATCCTGTAAACCTACCTAGGCCAAGTCCTTCAATGCCTGGCCAGTTACATGACTAGAAAATTTGTTGACTTAAGAAGCATTATTGTCTTTTTTAGGATGATACATCACATATATTTCAATTATACTTGAGGATCTGTTTTATTGTATTTTTTCTCTCTTGAATTTACCAGGTGAATCAACCAGTGCACTTTAAAATTAAAAGTATGACTTTCTTGCACATTTCTCAGAATATTAACATCCGGCAGATATAGCCACAACATTGTGAAATATTACTACAAACTACATTACATGTATACAGTAAGCAGTAACAGGCCACTAGCAATTTAGCATATGTTGTAACTGATCAAGTGTTTAGAAAAGTGCTACATACCATTCGCGACCCGAGGTCACTGGTTGGTTCCCGAGTCGATTTGATGATTACTGGATCAGACTGGATGTAAGGTCGCAACTTTTCTGTTGTAGCCAACTGGACATAGCCATAATCCTGAAAAACAATGTACAAAATATCTACAAATTATATAAAAGATTAATTTTCTGTTCTCTATGGAACATTTTATGGGTTTGAAATCTTAAAATAACGGAATAAGTAAGAAACAGTGATCTCATTCTGTAATATAAAGGGTTATACATGTGATATTATCAATATATAAGAAAATTAAAAAAGATCAAATATTTTCTCTTACAATATTGTGTAGCAATAAAACTGAACTTGTATTGTTTGGTTCTGTTTGTAGCTTAATGGCAGTTGAATGCCACTTCACAAAGATGTTTTGGTGCATAAACAAACGTAGCCATCTATCATACAGACACAAATAAACAACGTTTTCTGTTACGTTTTTAGCTCATGATTGTGAAGTTATAAATATACGAAAGTCTAGATCTCCATCGACTGCTGAGTAGCGAGTAACCTATACAATTCTGGCTCCAAACGTTCTGTCGGTGTGGCAAGAAATACTTTCCCAGTCTATTGATATGCTGCCGCATTAAACTTTATCATGTTTGTTTCCTCTTTGCACAGTTAACCTGTACAAGCAGTTTTAGAAAATAACACAATTTTTAATGATGTATGTATAGCACATTCACCAACGAAGCATTACATCCAGGTCTCGAGGTCTGATGCTCTATAGTTCTAGTGTAGTCTATAGGTTGAACAAATATCTGTTCAGTGGAACCCACTTATTATGATATCGGTTATTATGATATACTTAGTATGATATTTTCCCAATGTACCAATTTTTTCCTTCTTTAACTACAGGTAAGCAAATAAAAATTGTTTATTATGATATGGTCAAAGGTGGGACCCTGCTTATCATGATATAAATAACAATGAAAGAATTATTTCATTTATTACTTTATCAGTTTGTATTTATATTTTTTCCTTGTTTCCACATCAATCTATGTCTGATTAATATAGGGGATCTCATTTCCGGTTCAGACAACATAAAAGCGATCGAAAACAGCTTGATTGGTTATTATAATAAATTGGTCATTATAATAAGCGGGTTCCACTGTATATATGGAAACCAAAGAGCACAACTGTACTTATGAACTATTCTCTGAATAATTGAATTGGTACACCTCATGTCATGACCCCTTATAGTTATAGTCTTTATTATCAATGATGAAGTGAGTGATCTATGTTGTATGTATGGAGCCTGGTGAAACGGCTTCATTATCAATGATGAAGTGAGTGATCTATGTTGCATGTATGGAGCCTGGTGAGTCGTCTTTATTATCAATGATGAAGTGAGTGATCTATGTTGCATGTATGGAGCCTGGTGAGTCGTCTTTATTATCAATGATGAAGTGAGTGATCCATGTTGTATGTTTGGAGCGTGGTGAGACATCTTTATTATCAATGATGAAGTGAGTGATCTATGTTGTATGTATGGAGCCTAGTGAGACGTCTTTATTATCAATGATGAAGTTCGTGATCTATGTTGTATGTATAGAGCCAGGTGAGACGTCTTTATTATCAATGATGAAGTTAGTGATCTATGTTGTATGTATAGAGCCAGGTGAGACGTCTTTATTATCAATGATGAAGTTAGTGATCTATGTTGTATGTATAGAGCCAGGTGAGACGTCTTTATTATCAATGATGAAGTTAGTGATCTATGTTGTATGTATGGAGCCTGGTGAAACGTCTTCATTATCAATGATGAAGTGAGTGATCTATGTTGTATGTATGGAGCCTGGTGAAACGTCTTCATTATCAATGATGAAGTGAGTGATCTATGTTGTATGTATGGAGCCTGGTGAAACGGCTTCATTATCAATGATGAAGTGAGTGATCTATGTTGTATGTATGGAGCCTAGTGAGACGTCTTTATTATCAATGATGAAGTGAGATATCTATGTAGTAGTATGGAGCCTGGTGAGACGTCTTTATTATCAATGATGAAGTTAGTGATCTATGTTGTATGTATAGAGCCAGGTGAGACGTCTTTATTATCAATGATGAAGTGAGTGATCTATGTTGTATGTATGAAGCCTGGTGAGACGTCTTTATTATCAATGATGAAGTGAGATATCTATGTAGTAGTATGGAGCCTGGTGAGACGTCTTTATTATCAATGATGAAGTGAGTAATTTATGTTGCATGTATGGAGCCTGGTGAGACGTCTTTATTATCAATGATGAAGTGAGTGATCCATGTTGTATGTTTGGAGCCTGGTGAGACATCTTTATTATCAATGATGAAGTGAGTGATCTATGTTGTATGTATGGAGCCTAGTGTCTCACCAATATTTCATCCAGTACTTCAAATACAAGCAGGCTATTCACTCTTATGGACTCTTCATTGACAACTCCACAAAAGTCTTTGCATGTTTGGTAGATTCTGTCACAAAATTAAAAGCAAACAAAGTTAACAGGTTTTAAAATATGGGACAAGGAAACCTTTAAAATTTACTGCAACAAAACATAATTATGAAGACTTTTTTGCTTGTAAAAAATAATTCTTTCATAATTATTAAAGGACTGATATTATTACTCCCCAAAAAATATTATTGAAAAAGTCTATTATACAACAAAACCATTAAAATAACATGTCTATTCCTTCAGTTTATTTTACATTACCTGGTATACTGTTAAAATAGACATTGATAATGCAAGTTTTGATAATATTTTTTATGACAATGTTTATAGGCCTAGGTTAAACACTAGTTCACTGGGAGAGAAATTAATTTCTCTAAAGCCAACTTTATTCATTAAATAGAAAATATAAGATGAACCTTTTGTCCTTATCATTATAATCCTTGATAAAAAACAATGTTTACCTGCTTAGGATCTCGATGACGAAGATTGGAGACACATCAGCCTGAGAGGTGGCTACAAAGTACATACTGTTCCTTTTCACATAGTAAAAGGTGGTTCCATTCTCCTTCTGAAAAGAGGAAGGACTTTAACAGTTACAGTCATAGTTGAATATACCTGATAGCTATTTTTATTATTGACATGAGAAAGCGAAATTATCACATAGTCAAAAATTTTGAAGATTCAAATTTCTCTATGTGTCAAATGTGTCAAATTTTAAATATTCAAATTTCAACATTTCCCCTTAAATAACACTACTAATATTCTATTCATAGATTAAGCTTTTTTGGGTTGAATTTTTCGTTGTTTCAAAGTATAATCATGGTTTAAGTTTCCTAAAAAAAGAGGGTTCAATAAAGATAGCATAGAATATATTCTATCATACTTACAAAGTGAGGAGGAAGCTGACTGGATCTAACTTCCCGTAGTTTCTGAACAAACACATCTTTTGATGTTCCTTCACAATCAAATCTGTCTTGATAGAGTTAAGGAAATGGAACTATTACATTAACAAAGATAATGTCAGTACACTTTAATACTAGAAATATTAGGATGAACTGCCCCATTTCATAAACAAGGATGAACATAACACATTTGATTACTTGAAATATTACATTTTCATTTGTTCATCCAACAACATAAATTCATATATTAACTTTTTTCACAGCATGGCATGAATTAAGGTATCTTTTTGGATGCATCCCATTTGGATGCAGAGCTTGTCATAACAAATTCAACTAGGCAACTTTTTGAAATTTTAAACCTAGAATGGAAAATATCTGGAATTCTACAATAAGCAATTCCCAAGTCTAGATAAACCAGTGCTGTGAAACTACAGCAATACCTAATTCTCACTGAATACCTTCTTATGTCCTAGCAATTGCTTTATTCCTCCTATTTATCGAATTATTTCTTTTAATAGAACTACAGACAGCAGATTTTCAGTGGCCTCTGAAACTATGCTGTATATGGCAGCGGGATTGCAGTTAGCTCACACTCAATCTCTGCTTTATGAACACTGCAAACTGAAATATACTGCAGCAGGATTTGAGCAATAGCAGCCATTAAATCCTTGATGTATAATACATCTGCTTTTCAAAATTCAAAACTTGATGATAACTAGGGGTTAACATAATGGCCACTGGGTGGATAGTTTGAGAAGATATGAACCAGTATATGTTTGTGACAAAATTATGGATACATTTAAAGAAGAACTCAAGAAGAGTGTTAATCAGTACACTCTCATAGCACATTTGGAAGTAAGTGTCACTGTGTGATAAGATTGATACACTTCATATTAAATTAATATTTCATTAATTTTAATTCTGTTTCCTGCTGTTTTTGAAAATACTGTAATTTTTATGGTATTGTTCATTGAGATCCTGCTGATGGGTTCTTGAAATTGGTAAATCCAGTTATATTGGTGTGGTGGGGGTTCCTAAAAATATACCTCCATCATATATAAAAACTTTTTTTTTCAACATTTGATGTTATGTTTTGAAGCCTCGATCTTAATATCCTCCACTATGGGTTGAACCTTGGACCTCTTGTTAACAAGTCTGATGCACTACTCATTGAGCTGAAGAGAAATATTTTCCTTAGTCCAGCAAGCAGGAATACTAGCTGGTATTTTTATCAAGGTGACATGGTAGCTGAGGCTTCCTCTTCTGGCTCTGATAGCTTTAATATAGTTGGTGTAGGCTGGAGTCAACTTGTTAATAAATGTTGTTGTGGAGCAGCAATAATTCCAACTTGTCCCAGAGGTGTTTTGGAATGATGATCATAATGTCTAGTTCCTAACGTTTGAAGTCACCTACTAGGAATTTTGCTGCAAATCTCTGTTCCCACTCAAATTGTTCAATGTTGGTCCCAAGCTGAGGCAGCATATTACAGTGTTGGGTGGACGTACAGGCATGGAGGTTCTTTCCAGGACACTTAGACTACAGAGTTTGATGCTCTTGCTGATGTATCGTTGGTGTGTCCATTTTCTTTAATTTTCATTTTTTTTTTTACCATTATCAAATTTTACCATTTATACAGCAACAGATATTAAATACAGATGAATATGAAGAGGACTTTGGGAGAATTATCCAAATCCAAAACCGACATTTAACTTCTCTTATAACTAGACGATCTAGCGAAAGTTGTATACCGAAATAACAACACTTTCCCCTTTGTTAGTAACGTAACTTACAATTGAAGTGCAGTAGATAACAGTTATACATTTGCATTTGTCTATCTATCTATATGTTATACTCCACAGAGAACAAAATGGCTTTAATGCGGAGGGGGTTAATGGATTAATGGATTTCTTTTCTGGCTTATGTGCATTTGGGACTAGAAAAACAATTCTTATCGATTACTGTGTCCGGTTAAAACGGCCTCACTGCAGTAACGGCCCTAGTAAAAACGGCCCCACCCTATATATAGTATAGAACTGCAAGTACTACAAGTGCATAATACAAATACATAACTTGATATTAGTTAATAAAGTTACATGTGCTTTCAAGAAATAAAGATATATACAGATAAAAATATTATAATTATGATTGATAGTTAACCCTCCCCAGTCTCAAATACCTAAGTTGCAATGGCAGTGTTTTCTACCTCAGCATTCAATTTAAGTATTTAGAGAATTTTTTTCTTTTATTAAATAGCATTCAGAAAAAAGTTATAATAATAACCAATAATAATTTAGATATGGGATGAGGGTCTTTGTTGTTTTAACAGAGTACCTCGGAGTGACTCAATTAAAACTACAATTAGCGGGATTGCATGGTCAGAGGGTGTAATAAATTAACGGATGTATAGCATAATGTTCACATATCATTTGAATTTGTACGAGACTTCCAACCACGAGATCAGCATTGACGAAATAACGAAAATCCGCCAAAGCGAAATAACACCAAAGCTAAATATTGAAAAGACGAAAAATGATATAACGAAAAGATGAAAAAACGACAACGATATATAGCAAAGAACGAAATAAAAAAAAAACCATAATGATGAAAAGACAAAAATGAATGTTTGTGTTTTATTTTTTACTTCTTTGAGAATGTTTTATAAATAGTATTGATTTTTTGGGTGAGAATTTTCGAGTTGGGGAGGGGAGATGGGGTAGGTAGCGGGATGGTGGTGACTGAGGACTCCGGACGACCAAGACCAATCAATTATTTTCAGCTTGGACGGTGTTCATATACGTCCCGTTGTACTAAGCAATTTATTTAAATTTATGTCATACACGTACTTACATTATTCTTAACCTTACTTCACACGATTTTTAAAATAAGTAGGGCCGTTTTTACAGTGAGACCGTTTTGACCTAGATTCATCGATTACACAGTAATCAGTACAATATTTATGATGCAGTATGTAAGGGCCACACTGGCATTGGGGCTCGAAGTCATGAATTTGATTAAAGTGAAAGTTACAGAGACCACTCGCGGACTCCAGTGGCCGAACTGGTGAAGGGTCGATAATCCGGTTTAAAAGGATACATGATTTGGCTGCAAGAACTGTGTTGTGACAAGATACAATAAAAATATCCGAGATCATATTAGAACCGTGTAAGAAAAATCAATTCCATTTCACAAACTAAGGAACCAGTCCTAGCTAAATCTCAACACGTTATCTTCCATCGCCTGCAACGTAACTGAATCGGTGGTTTTGTGTGCATCCGGGGATTTCCCATTTTTAAATCACGTTTCAAGCGAGAGTTGTGAACGGTGCTTGAATAATGCGAGCAACAGTGGTACGGCTGGCAATGGGAACACAACAAAATACTGAGTTTTGAAGGCTTGATCGAAGTTAATAAGCAGGTAACAAAATTTTGATTTGTTTATTTAAGTACAGAATATATCATGTATCCCATTATTTGTCTTGATTTTCAGATATCAGTAGTTGGTTTACACATCTTCCTGTCAGACAGACCCCAGACCGATCGCGAGTTCACGTCGAATTTCATTCAGAAAATGTGTCCTTATTTTTAGGTCACAGATTGTATAATGTTTACGCTGTCGAATCAACTTAGTAAACAAACGACCACAGTTGTTATTGTCAAGATATCGTAAGTTTTTGAATTTATATAGATTTACACAAGGAGCAATATGTTTTAATGGTGCGAAAATGGGGGTCCAATTGTTGACCTCGTTTAAAGTTGACAATGTAATATAAATTGGCTGAAGAATTTGTGGTATTTTAATCCTGTTATTACTCATTATGCTTAAAATTCAGGGCGTTTGGAATGCCATTGTATCTTAGATCTAATTCGTTGCATTTCAACAAATGTTAATTGTTATCCAAGAACTATATATATGTCCTATTATGATGTATGCATGTTATAGATAAAAGGATAAAAAGATGGCCATGTGTTGTTATATTGACTAACTAAATGTAACATTAACTAAGATTTAATTTCAGCCACTAGATCTATTTGTACGATTGAATCAGTGCTGCCTTTAGTATGAAAATGATTTATCAGATATTTTTTTGCAAATCAATGAAATCATTCTGTAACCCCTCTGGATCCACCACTGAATAATACATTAATAATCAGTATGTATTAGTGTATGTGTCCCAATAATTCACTTTTTTAAATAAATTAACTTTCTTTTAGTTTAGTTATTTAAATGCATATTTCAGTACCAAAATTGTTAGCAACAACAGTTAACCTTACAGTGGTCAAACACTGCAAAATAATATTCTGCAAATCAGAATGCTGTGTCAGTATATAAGTAAGTCATGCTTTTGGATTGGATTAATGCAACCAATTTCAGATTACTGCACCAAACATGTAATGTTACTTGAGACTCAATGAATTTTTAAATGCATAAGTGGGACTCATCTAAATTCTCCCGTCAGAAATCTTTATCAAATGAACCACATTTGGCTTCTTAAGTGATTCATGCTTTATTGACATGGGTTCAATTTACACAGAAATGTGTTTTTCAGAGGTACAGTAAAACAATATGAGTATACATGTAAACAGTAGGATATTTTTTTCATTCCGACATTCACTGGTATGTATATATCAGTTTAGAGGTTATAATTACTTAATTACATTGAGGCTTCCTGGTCAGCACTAGTGTAACCAACAAAGTATGGTTATTGTTACTGAAATATCTCACAAAGTTATAGTAATGCAATGAAAAACATCAAACTTTGGTTTTAATATCTATATAAAATTGTGTTGTAGATCCATTAATGCTGTCACTGGAGTATCATGCATTCATAATCTTAGTAACTCGTATATTTATATATATATATAAACAATAGCTTTGTTAAATTGCTTCAAAGTGTACACATAATTCACAGCCTTGTTATTTATTACAAGACTTATCTGATTCGTTTTGTCTTATCACATGCTGCAAGGGCAAGGTCACACTTCAGTACAATACACAAATATATAAAGTTGATGTATATATATATACAACATGTACTGGTAGCTGGTGTATATATATATACACACTAAATATGCATGTCAACAAGCTGGTACACTACATACATGTACTTCTTGTCAATAAGCTGTAATCAACAACCTAAATGTTAAGAGGTGTTTCTATCATATTACCTACTAAGTAAATTATATGGGCAATATTTAGATACTCCTGTTTAGTATGATTTAAAATGGTTCAGAGCAGTCTGTGCTTTCAACGTAAATATATGAAGCAGTGTTTTCTTTTATTGAAGTAATTTGGATGGGAAAATGGACATAATGAGACTATATAATAGCCCCTAAGCTTTGTGACTATATACATGTATAATGTGTCATTATCCTGGATCAAGAAAAAGGTAATTGCAATTCAATGGTTTCAATATCTATTTTTTGGCACAACCAAAGTATTACATGTTTTGAAATAGAAAAAAATCAAAACCAATTATCAGTGCATCAGAAAAGTCTTTTAGTGTATGTTTAAATGTTTTGAGTCTAATAAACAGACAATAGTTTTCAGTATGACATTAATTCTGGTCATCTTAAATATTCTGAAGGTCATCTATATATTATGGCTTTTGAGGGTTTGAGAGGGTGGGGGTGGAGGGGGGCATTTTTCTCAATTTGGTCCTATTTCCAATGGAAAATTGTGGTATATTATCCTTTTTTTTGGTGTGTTTTTTTTCTAACATTCATCTTGTATTCAAATGGAAGTGCAACACCTAATATCTAAAAGAATAATATATGGGTTTTTGTGTTGTTGTTGCTTTATTGGTCTTTTGTTACGATACTTTGTAAACATTTAATTTTGGTCATGCATTCCCATTTTGGTATTACCATTTTCCTAGTTCTACCTGTGGTGATCACCAAGCCCAAGCTCGCTTCAACTGCACTTAAAAGTTGTGCATTAAAATGTATGTTTTATGTTAATACTTCAGACTAGGGTGAAGAAGAGGTCTGAACAATGATGCCAAAACTATTGTCTGACTACCATTGTGTGTACAACAAATTAATACACCATGGTCAGTACAAGTTGGCTAGAATAATTAATTATAGCCTATAATTACAGGTGATGGCTATTGAGAGGATTACACTTGTACATGTATGTACATTCTGTCAGGCCTGTGTTGTAATATGCATTTCATCAAGACTTATGATAATCTTTTATTAATATAAGATACCAGGTAAAGTAAAAAATTAATTCAAAAACTGCAAACAGAAGTATCAAATTTGATATTTTATATTCTGAAATCATGGGTTAAAACTTAACAAATCCTTGTTAGTTGGGGGTTTAACCATTGATCAAATACAATATCTGAGCAGCTCAGCTTCATGTTTACATGATCCTATTTATAGCTATAATGCTGGTCAATGCCCAGGCGACTGGAGCTCAGCATTATAGTAAACATGTTTTTGTCGAGTTCTCTTCTAGACTGGTACGTCTGTATTAATCACTACTTAGGGGCTTCGTTTTCAGTACATGTTTTTTTACATCTGGTCTATAGTGAGTTTTTTTATACATTGATTTCAAATTTTACTTCTTCATGGGGGGGGGGGGGGGGGGGGGGGACCTAGACATTCAGTGAGCGATTAATAAGAAATCATTAATTAACCATTACGTATCGCATATACAAAAAAATGTATTTATTAGTAAGTATGTAATAAAAACACTGTATTATACATCACATGTGTGATATGAAATGTTGTAATTCATGTTTTTATATGAATAGTTCACTGCTGTTTTGTATAGCATGCATGACCAGGGTTGTTGTATACATATTTGTCTGTTGATGATCAGCACAGTTTGATTCTGTGATGAAAAGTGATGTAATTTATTCTACTCACCACATCATTTTGCTTTTTGTTTTCCACTCTGGTTTTTCACAAAGCAAATCGAACATTTACAGGATACTACAGTTAAATAATCATATGTGTATACAAAACAGTTATAAGTATATCCAAAACTGTCTTCCCAGAAACTCCTCATCTGATGTGCTGATATATATTACCATAATATATTCAGTATTCTGTCAGTACATATAAATTGACTGCAGATATAAACTTGACATGGATTTTGACATATTTTCATTAGGACATTGTAATTAAACAGTCAGAAAAAGAGTTGCACCTTTTCTCTGGAGTCTGCAATAATATCATTAAGTTGACATCGTATAAAGAAGCAATTTACAATTTGTACTAATTACTATGGCCATCAGAGGAAAGGATTTGTTACAATGATTCAATGTCTGGATAAAATTAATATTAATTGAACTTGCAAGGGACTCAAATACAAGATCAGGTGAAAGGTACCATAAAGTTCAAATATATTTTCACCTTTAGCAGTGTTGGGGAGTGTTTGTTTCAAGTTTGTCATTACAATACATATGTTTGTTTTCAATGTTAAACATATTGCATTACATTTTACAGAATTATTGTTGTTATAAAAATCTTTGTTTTTGAAAATAAAATGAAGACCACAGACTCCCAGAGTAACTAGATTGAACTCTGACGTTTAATCTTCCAGATCTGCTGACCTTTCACTTAATCAGTATATATACTTTATTGAAATAAAATACAGCCAAGGGAGGTAACTGTAGACAAGAAAAACCTCCTTTATCTTTCTACCAGCGTATATAAATACTCAAAGTTAAAAAAATAACTCAAAAGTAGAAGTGTTCTTTGCAGTAATAAATTGTGCAGTGGTACTTGTAGAATAGAGACCAGAATTAAAAGAATGGAAACATGAAATTTCATAATTATTTTATTTGAATGTGAACAAAGATTTGATAGAAATGAATTGATAGAAAACACTGTAAGTAAGATTTTTGTGATGATTATTTTGTGTGGTATAAAGGCCTGGTCAGTAAGATATACTGTCTGTTTATATATATATATATATATGAAACTCAATAAGGACTCACTGATGGTTTGCCTGTTGTTGGGTGGTAATTGTTGTGGCCACAAGTTATTGATTGAGTTGCCATCCAGCCGTAGGACTGTCAATATGGAGGATATATAATCTGTCCTGCCCACACATCACAAGAAGAGCAGTTTCTTTGGTCATCTCTTACTACTGTAGTAACATGTATGTAGGTATTGCCATGTCTTCTGTCAATTCTGATTTTCATCACATGATAACTTATTGGAATGACAAGTTGTCTCTTTTCTAGGACGTCATCATGTGTATTTTTCTAAATGGTATGACTGATTTGTCTAAGAAATATCATCACTTATTTATGAAAATCTTGGTAGCTTAATTTATTAATACTTTCATGTAGATACCCAACTTTATACAAAACATTCTGATAATTCAGTTGCAATATAAATGTAGGTTTGGTTCATACACCATCTAAATGCAATACATTTAGGTAATTTGATTTAAGTTAGGTATTTTAAAAGTAATTCCCACTGGACAAGAACTAGGAATTAATGATGTCATCCAGCTGCCTGATGAATAGCAATGTAAGTCAATTATCCATGGTAATTACATTCCCATATTATAGAGTCTATGCTCAGGAATATTTGTTAAGCCTTTATTATTTTTGGGGTTTTATGTCCTCACAACAGCTATAAGGTCAAGTAAAGACAATGTCCAAATGATGAGATCACGTTAAATAATACCATCTCTAGATCTCTAAATTGTCATTAACTGGACACAGTAGTACTAATGTCACTCCATCCACCTGATCATATTATATGAATCATTTGGAGGTGCCTAGGGAAACACCAATTAAAAGGAAGAATATAACAGGAGATATAAGAAAAGATAGAGGTCCCAATTATGGGGATGGCAGATTGATGTTGGGTTTTCCATAGTCCTCTAGCTAATAAATAGGAAAAAACCACCTGATTCTGCAAGGGTCGCCATCCACTTATAGGTTGTCTCGTGTGCTCATTCAGTCGGATATAGCAGGTCTATTCTTTCTCTGAGTATATATATATGCTCATTCAGTGGGATATAGCAGGTCTATTCTTTCTCTGAGTATATATATATGCTCATTCAGTAGGATATAGCAGGTCTATTCTTTCTCTGAGTATATATATGCACAGGTAATTATGTGTCTCAGGAGTACTGCAATTGGTCTTGATCTCTGAGGAGTACGTATACCTGGTTCTATGGGCTGGTGTCTAATATGTGTTTGTGCATGATTGATTTATGTGTTGGTTTATGATTGGTTCATTTGATGTTTTTTTTTACTGGTTCATGTACATGTGCTGGTTTATGTATATTATGATTGGTTAATTATGTGGTAATCTGTGATTGGTTTAGATGTTGGTCTATGATTGGTTCATATGTTGGTTATGATTGGTTTGATTATGTGTTTGTCTGTGATTGGTTTAGATGCATGTTGGTCTATGATTGGTTCATGTGTTGGTTTATAATTGGTTTAATTATGCATAATATAAGTCTGTGATTGGTTCATGCATTGGTCTATGATTGGTTTAATTATGTGTAAGTCTGTGATTGGTTCATGTGTTGGTTTATGATTGGTTCATGTGTTGGTCTATGATTGATTGTAATGTGTTGGTTTATGATTGGTTAATGTGTTTGTTTATGATTGGTTCATGTGTTGGTTTATGATTGGTTCATGTGTTGGTTAATGATTGGTTCATGTGTTGGTTTATGACTGATTATAATGTGTTGGTTTATGATTGGTTAATGTGTTGGTTTATGATTGGTTCATGTGTTGGTTTATGACTGGTTATAATGTGTTGGTTTATGATTGGTTCATTTGTTGGTTTATGATTGGTTCATGTGTTGGTCTATGATTGGTTGTAACGTGTTGGTTTATGATTGGTTTATGATTGGTTCATGTGTTGGTTTATGATTGGTTCATGTGTTGGTTTATGATTGGTTAATGTGTTGGTTTATGATGGTTTATAATGTGTTGGTTTATGATTGGTTCATTTGTTGTGTTATGATTGGTTCATGTGTTGTGTTGATTTATGATTGGTTCATGTGTTGGTTTATGATTGGTTCATGTGTTGGTTAATGATTGGTTCATGTGTTGGTTTATGACTGATTATAATGTGTTGGTTTATGATTGGTTAATGTGTTGGTTTATGATTGGTTCATGTGTTGGTTTATGACTGGTTATAATGTGTTGGTTTATGATTGGTTCATTTGTTGGTTTATGATTGGTTCATGTGTTGTGTTGATTTCTGACTGGTTTAATTTTGTGTTGAACTTAGTCTTTGTACATGCACAATCTGTTTAAAACTGTCTGCTGAATGTTTTGTCCTGTTCACATATTTTTATTATGATTTTAAATGTGCTTTAAATGTTTTCTGTTTAAATTCATTTAATGTCTTTTTGGTGGTTTTTTAGCTTTAATTTCTGAATGCTTTATATGCGCTTTTAAATTATTGCTCATTATCAGAGGACTTGTTAGGTAGGGGATGCCCATGCCAATCACCTGTCCTCTGATTATTTGTGCTGAGGTGCCCTGATACGCACTGCCTTGTTTATATTTTTGTATTATATAAGAAATCAGGATCTTAACAGGCTCATTTGTATTTTACAAATATTTAAATTTTTGATCATTATCTAAAATTGTAACTGAACATATTTTACTCAGTCACATTTAAATATCTTAATCAAACATTATCTCATAGTGTTATGTTTTAATGAATATCTGATTATAGTTCAATATGGTCTAGCTATCATCATACATGTACATTTTTTGTATGTGCTGTTTTGTGAGCTTGAGCTTGTTCTTCTTTCTGCATGGTTGTATACTTTTATTTCAATATTGTTGTGCTTTTGTTTTCTTAATGCATGTTTTGTTACATTATGCCCACTGTAATATTTTATATATTATAATATTGTATATGTTCTATCATAAGAATAGCTCTTCAGAGCTTATGTTTCAAGTTTAATATTTTACCGTTACACAAGACAACAAATAACATTTCTTGTATCTTGTATCTTGTGATGGGTTTAGGTGTTGGTCTATGATGTATATATATACTACAGTACTATACCCAATTACCCCTATTAGACCAGTGTACATGTACTACATGTGCATTAATGTATCTATATATATCTTGTCAATGTGTATAAATGATGATGATTGAGAAACACGTGCTTCTGTCTACAAGTGATAGTTTGTGTGTAATGTCTGTTTGATGTAGATGTAACAAAAAAAATGAGAAATGAAAAAATCTATTTAAATATCTTGACCATCTGTCCAGTAACATCAGATTTGTGCCTAACAAATCAAAACCTGTCATATTTCAGTGAGTTTGCCAAGTTATTAATACATTTAAATGTGACAGAAATATAAGACATGTTGACAAACTGTGAAACCTTTTGACAGTAAAATATACAGTTTGTACATGTTGTACGTTGTATACCAAAAACAAGATGGGAATCCCTGATCAAATCAGCTATGGTTTAGCCAGGGCCTTGACTATCATGGTTTGTGTTACTAGCTGGTACACAAGTACATGTACTTGTATAACATTAAAATATATACTATATATATATAGGTTGTACACACATTTAGACTGGTTATGATCTAACTTTATAGTGCTGAGTAATCTTAAGTATAGACATCTGAGGTCACAACTTGATTACATTTAGACACATGTAAATGATAATCTTTGGTACATATTCATTTTGAGTGCAGCTTACTGAACCATAAACATGTAGTTATAACTGGAATTAATAGGAGATTTGATAAGTGTCAGAGAATTATTATAAGGTACTTTCAATCCTAAAATTGATAAAAGAAAAAGTTTAGATAGATTCAATATTTCTTTCCTTGGTCTCTCACCATGATTATAAACTATAATATTCATATGCACATGATTTGTATATATATATATAGACCGAGTCACGCTCATTGCTTTGAACATCTGTCTGAAATTGGTACATCATCATCAGTGTTTGATGATCATGATAATTCAATATTAGTGTCTGATATCCATTAACCAAATCCTTTGTAAAGTTTAACTCACATTAGCTTTGTATTTGTTCTAGATGTATCTGCTGTATCTGTAATGATATGTTGATACATCTATTAGGTGTCTGATTGTAAAATATACAGAGAAGCAGTTGTACATGTAGTCCAAGAGTTACATATCTTATATACTATAGAGTACTACACAGGATTAAATTATTGTACTGATATTTTAGGTACAGTCATCTACCGAGTTTATTGTGCTCTACTGTCAATTAGCACACTGACTCTTTCCTGAATTGATTTAATGTACCTTGGAAAACATGCACTTTTTAGAAAGAAATACACTTCAAACAAATTGGAAATTAAATACTGTGAAAGGTGCTATATATGATGAGAATAAAGCTACACTGTGTTTTGAAATATCCAATACATGTAAAAATACAGTTGTTCAGGAGAAAAAAAATGTACTCTCTTTCTCTGATTTTTAAGTGTAATGATTATTTAAAATCAGCAGTGCATGCGAAGGTGATGATGAGTTAGACGCTGTCTTAAGGTGTTTTGAGAGTTTGAGCTAACCTGATAAAGAAGTTTTATTTGATTGTTTCAGATCTGCCTTTGTTGGTTGTGAGAGGCAGAGATGTCTGCCCAAGACAACCCTGTGCCTGTCATAAAGGAAGGATTCCTCTGGAAACGAGGTAAGATAAATCAGCATTGTAGCAGTTAAGATTTAGCAGTGTAACAGTGGGATAACTCTGAAAATGAAATAAGGTCTACCAGTGTAACAGTGGGATAATTATATCTATGGCAATGAGGTAAGGTTTAGCAGCGTTACAGTGAGATAACTACATAACTATGGCAATGAGGTAAGGTGTAACAGTGGGATAATTATATCTATGGCAATGAGGTAAGGTTTAGAAGTGTAACAGTGAGATAATATAACTACATAACTATGGGAATGAGGTAAGGTTTAGAAGTGTAACAGTGAGATAATATAACTACATAACTATGGCAGTGATGTAAGGTTTAGCAGCGTTACAGTGAGATAACTACATAACTATGGCAATGAGGTAAGGTTTAGCAGTGTAACAGTGAGATAATATAACTACATAACTATGGCAATGAGGTAAGGTTTAGCAGACTGTAACAGTGGGATAATTATATCTATGGCAATGAGGTAAGGTTTAGCAGTGTAACAGTGAGATAACTACATAATTATGGCAATGAGGTAAGGTGTAACAGTGGGATAACTATGGCAATGAGGTAAGGTGTAACATTGGGATAACTATGGCAATGAGGTAAGGTGTAACAGTGGGAGAACTATGGCAATGAGGTAAGGTTTAGCAGTGTAACAGTGGGATAACTATGGCAATGAGGTAAGGTTTAGCAGTGTAACAGTGAGATAACTACATAATTATGGCAATGAGGTAAGGTGCAACAGTGGGATAACTATGGCAATGAGGTAAGGTTTAGCAGTGTAACAGTAGGTTAACTATAACTATGGCAATGCGGTAAGGTTTAGCAGTGTAACAATGGGATAACTATGGCAATGGGGTAAGGTTTAGCTGTGTAACAGTGGGATAACTATGGCAATGAGGTAAGGTTTAGTAGTGTAACAGTGGGATAACTATGGCCATGAGGTACATGTAAGGTATAACAGTGGGATAAATATTACAATGAGGTAAGGTTTAGCAGTGTAGCAGTGGGATAACTATGGCAATGAGGTAAGGTTTAGCAGTGCAACAGTGGGATAATTATAACTATGGCAATAAGGTAAGGTATAAGCAGTGAAACAGTGGGATAACTATGGCAATGAGGTAAGGTATAACAGTGTAACAGTGGGAGAACTATGGCAATGAGGTAAGGTATAACAGTGTAACAGTGGGATAACTATGACAATGAGGTAAGGTTTAGCAGTGTAACAGTGGGATAATTATAACTATGGCAATGATGTAAGGTTTAGCAGTGAAACAGTGGGATAACTATAGCAATGAGGTAAGGTTTAGCAGTATAACAGTGATGTGGCCGTGGGGTCCTTTTGGAGATGTGGTAAGGTTTAACAGTGCAACAGTGGGATAACTATGGAAATGAGGTATAAGGTTTAGCTAACAGTGGGATCAATATGGAAACGAGAAGGTAAGTAGTTCAAAAGCGGGTAACTCTGGAGGTAAGGGTTTAGCAGTATGGCCATGGGATATTAAACTATGGAAATGAGGTAAGGTTTAATAGCACGGCTATGACACATAGGATTATGTTAAGCATTGTAAAGGAGCAATTCCTATGGAAACAAGGTACATGTATATGTAGGATGGAAGTATATATTAAAGGAGGGAATCCAGGTACATTGTATGCATTAAATATAATGTTCCAAATTTCTTTCCTCAATATGAGATTAAAGGTATGTAAAGAACATCATGAATCAAGAGAAGTAAGTTATGTGAATTTGGAAATGTACTGAATTACAAATCAACTCAAATATATATAATGATATATAGGACATTACATGATTGTTACTCACAGTAATGATTCCAAACTTAAATGTTCTCTTTTACAAAAATCAAAACTCAGCAGCTGATTTAAAATTTACATCAATGACATATACAGATAATGGCTAGAGCAGTGGGGTAGTGTTGTTCATTTATTGATTGTTCAGAAATCCTCAGAAACGTAATGACGTCGTTAGACAAGCTCATTCTGTGTCATTAGAGGACTTGTAGCTATGTAGTTTAACCCCTGCAGAGAAACTGCAGTGTTGTTGTACATGCAGGTGAACATAATCTGTAAATGTGCTCGGGTCAGAAACCTGCTTTTGTGTATTTGTATTAACAGTGTTGTTTGGGTCTACAAGTATACATGTACTTGTATAAATTAATATACTTACATAGCTGTGATTCACTATATGACACTGAAATAAACAATATTGATCACATGACTTGGTCTATGTGCATGGACAGTAGTACGGCAGAGCATTGGTCAGAGACCTGTGTTTGTGTACATAGAAAGTGTGCAGTGATTGCAGCTTGAACCTGAAACCTATGTTTGTATACAGAGTGTATATGAGGAGTTTAGGTCAAAGACCTGTATTTGTGTACAATGTGTGCATAATAATGTCTGCTCTGGTCAGAGACCTTTATATGTGTAGAGAGTGTACATAATAATGTCTGCTCTGGTCAGAGACCTTTATATGTGTAGAGAGTGTACATAATAATGTCTGCTCTGGTCAGAGACCTTTATATGTGTAGAGAGTGTACATAATAATGTCTGCTCTGGTCAGAGACCTTTATATGTGTAGAGAGTGTACATAATAATGTCTGCTCTGGTCAGAGACCTTTATATGTGTAGAGAGTGTACATAATAATGTCTGCTCTGGTCAGAGACCTTTATATGTGTAGAGAGTGTACATAATAATGTCTGCTCTGGTCAGAGACCTTTATATGTGTAGAGAGTGTACATAATAATGTCTGCTCTGGTCAGAGACCTTTATATGTGTAGAGAGTGTACATAATAATGTCTGCTCTGGTCAGAGACCTTTATATGTGTAGAGAGTGTACATAATAATGTCTGCTCTGGTCAGAGACCTTTATATGTGTAGAGAGTGTACATAATAATGTCTGCTCTGGTCAGAGACCTTTATATGTGTAGAGAGTGTACATAATAATGTCTGCTCTGGTCAGAGACCTTTATATGTGTAGAGAGTGTACATAATAATGTCTGCTCTGGTCAGAGACCTTTATATGTGTAGAGAGTGTACATAATAATGTCTGCTCTGGTCAGAGACCTTTATATGTGTAGAGAGTGTACATAATAATGTCTGCTCTGGTCAGAGACCTTTATATGTGTAGAGAGTGTACATAATAATGTCTGCTCTGGTCAGAGACCTTTATATGTGTAGAGAGTGTACATAATAATGTCTGCTCTGGTCAGAGACCTTTATATGTGTAGAGAGTGTACATAATAATGTCTGCTCTGGTCAGAGACCTTTATATGTGTAGAGAGTGTACATAATAATGTCTGCTCTGGTCAGAGACCTTTATATGTGTAGAGAGTGTACATAATAATGTTTGCTCTGGTCAGAGACCTTTTTATGTGTACAGTGTGCTTAAAATGTCTGCTCTGGTCAGAGACCTTTATATATGTGTAGAGAGTGTACATAATAATGTTTGCTCTGGTCAGAGACCTTTTTATGTGTACAGTGTGCTTAAAATGTCTGCTCTGGTCAGAGACCTTTATATATGTGTAGAGAGTGTACATAATAATGTCTGCTCTGGTCAGAGACCTTTATATGTGTAGAGAGTGTACATAATAATGTCAGTTTTGGTCAAAGACCTGTATTTGTGTACAATATTTACATAATGTCAACTATGATCAGAGGCATGTGTACCATGTTTACATAATGTAAGCTTAAGTCAAATTTTTATTTATGAGTGTTTTTCTTCCCCTTACAGTTATACTATAATGTATCATACATATGTCAAACCTTGAACATTGATAAATATATACATCTACAGTAGAGAGTCAATTATTGAGGATAACTTAGCAATTGTTTTGATAGCCACTTCAATTGTATATGTTTATCAGGAAGGGCTTTAAACTTGGAAGATAATTTATATCTTTGTATCATAGTGTAGTAGTTAATAATGTGGATAATGTTCTACAAATCTGAAGATGTGTATACAATGTATGTACATATATATTATGTAGATAATTTGAAAATTCTGTCACATGATCATTCAAGTGTTTTATTTATTTTATGGATATTCATGATCACTATGCAAAGTAAATGATTTTCTATCGCCATAAACAAGCAGAACAAATTAATCCTGAGTGCCTTCATGTAACTACAAGGCCTTGGAAATTTACCCTGCTAGATCGAGTTACGATGTTAATTATATAAGTCACAGCCATTGAACAAGCCCGGATTAATTTGAAACGCTGAGAGGCATATTGTGTTATAACTTTGATGGAAGGAAGCCCTTGGAATATAAGATTACCAAGTTTTAAATATCAAATCAGTCCACAAAAAATACAGATTCACTATGAACATTTCTGTTCGGTCTTGTTTTAAAGATGTTTTTTTTATACCTATACATTATGAATGTCTTTTTAGCAATACTGTAAACATAACATGCTATTTATATGTCAGAAAAGTTCATTACTTAATGAAGAAATGTAATGTCATTATTACAAATGTCCTTGTAGAAGTTCCAAATTATTAACTGAATTTTACAAAATTTTGCTGTATTGTTAGGACCCCAATATATACCTCTGCCAAAAACATGTGAATTAAGGCATTTATTTCATTGGCATTATAACAAAAGCAATAATAAACCATTTCTGATCAGAAATTTGAACCTTGCAGGAATTTCAAGTAATAATGATAAAAATAAAAAATTACAACCATTAAAATATTTTGATACATGTAGTAAAAATGCAACAGGGCCAAATCAGGATTTGAAACCTAGATCTCTAATATATATGTTCTAACATAATTCAGTCACAGTGAACCAACTCATGTTTATATTAGCTGCCTGATCAGCTAAAGCTCCTTGACCTATAGTCCCTCCATAGCTACAGTGCTATGTTTAAAACAAAAATAACTACAATTTAATTGTATAGTGTTTTGCATTTTCCCCTCCCCCTGTCTCCCCATAGTTGTGATTTGATAAAAGTACAACACAGGAAAGTAAGTTAAATGGCCAGAGCATGTCAAAGGAAGTGTGCTGACAGAAAGCCCTGGTGCCAGGAAGGGAGTGTCTCCCCTGTCCGTATAGACATCTTAAGATGTTGTGTTTGTAGCTAGCCAGCTCACACCTACTAGTAACCATGTCCTCTATTTCCTACTTCACCTTTGTTGTGCTATTTAACAACGTTACAATCCACAACAGATGTATCCTCAACACTTTCATGTGGCTTTAAGGATTCTTATCATTTCCTCTCTAAGGATGGTCAAAATATAATGATACCACACTGCTTATATAATAACAGCCAACGTATAAACAGGTTGCAAAGTTTGTTACAGAACCGTAATGTTACTGTTTATGTTTTATCATTACTTCCTTTATGTGAGAGAATGTATGAATAAATGGTATTTAGTCTGCAGTCAACATTGTGTTGTGAATTAAGTTCATGATCAAATGGTTCTTTATTAATTTTATGGTGGGGCTTATAGTGTTACTCATGTCTACCCCATCCTTTTCCATCATGATCATCAGGTCTCGTATGTATTCAATGTTATCACTCCAGAGACTCCATTTCTTCACAGATTTTGTTCAAAGTTTTTTTAGTAAGGTTCAAATGTGACTAAGGGGTGAATGGGTAAAGTTGCGTCTGTATTTTAGGGTTCCAAGGTCTAGACAAAGGTCATTTTAAGTCTTGATAGGAATTTGTCGAGTAAGTCAGTGACATTAACTGAGTAAGGACAAGGTCAACATTACTTTTAAACAGTGACACCAATTTGTATGGGAGCAAGCCAGGGTCATTTATATCTTACAAGTATTTTGTAGTTGATGTTATTTTCTGATAATCGATAAATGTCATATAGAGTAGTATTGTAGACCCTGTACGTGATATGTCTGTAACATGTACATATAATGGACATACATACGCTGTGTACACATGTTTATAAGATACTCTAGGCCTTTACCTAATTTATTTACATATTAAAAATGAAGCTTCACGCCTGCAATAAGGGATTCAGAAAAGAATGTACAGGTATCATATATATTTCTCCTGTATTAAACCCATGCCAGGGGACCAACACATTAACTCTGACTCAAGGTAGGGGTGGGCCTATTGCATGACAATGAAATAACATTTAAGTTAGCCTATGGGCGTATATATGATCAGGAATGATCTTATTGTAAGATAAGTCTGATAAATACTTGCTATAACCCACTACATGTTGAGCTGTTGACAGAGTTGTTGATTTTCTTTTGTGCCCTATTTGGTGACAAGAAAGCGATCAAAATCAATCTGCTGCCTGTGCACCTACTGCAACATATTGGGATCTCTAAATATTTCATCTTTTCTCCCTTACTAGGAATACCTTTACAATGTAGGTTTCCTAACACCTTACTATAAGGTTATGGGGTCTCCCCTTGACAGAGAAAATTTACCCATAGTCTTAAAGATTCATTGATACTTACACCCTCTGCTTGTTCAGTTTAAATTGTTGACATAAAGGAATGGTTAGCCTGCAGCAAAGGTCCATATATATGTATGTGTGACCTGAGGTGGAATGTCATTCTGTTGTACTTACATATATATATGTATGTCCAATTTGACATTTCAGTGAGATGGCACGTTCAGGTGGCCCTTGAATATATAGTATGGCCCATGCCCAATAACCTGGACACCATCTTCATGTATGGCTTTAACTATAATAGTTGTTGCAAGGAAACAAAACCCTGAACAGACATGTCTTTGTTAAGTTTTAAGGGTATAATGAAAACATATACATATATACACCAAAGTTTTGAATAAAAACATTCAGGTTATAGGAAACATTTAAGTTCTGCTGTTAAAACGAAGAATTGTATTGTCTGGGCAGGAAACATACATACATGTACCGGGTTTATACTAAAGGGATTACTTTGTTATACTGTAACCCATCTTTTGCTGCATATACCACACACAGGTGGTTGTTTCCAGTTGATATCTTTTGAAGGAAGTATCAGATTATGATTGAACTTGGCTGATATATTTACTACTCAATCATATTGCTGAAGTTTGATATTTGGCCAAATTTGTGTATATTCTAATGATCAAGTTTGGTACATGTATATTTAAAATTTGAAGGAATTTTCACTCTTTTACAATATTTAATTAGCATACTTTCTACTGATCATGGAGTTCCTTTTTTCATATTCAGTCCATGTCAAATTTATAAAACAGATGTGATCTGTTTGGCAAATATCTTTGGAAAAAATTATCTGATTTCAATGATACTTTCCAAATTTACTTTCTATCAAAGTTATATATAGTGCTGCCTCAATTTTTATACTTTTCTAAATTCACATATATTTAATGAGCTGCTTGAGGCTTTTGCAAACTTACAGTAACCAGATTGAATTTTTATTATGGAAATTATATGTGATTCAAAATAAACTTTCCTGGTACATTGTACATTGCAAACACCTAAAACCTGTCATTTAGATATTTGATACCTGGCAAAATGTAGTCACATTGAAAAAGGCTTAGTCAGTTAGAGGATTGGCTAATTATAATGGTTTCAAAATGATGTATCCGTGTTTTGACGGAATTGTGGTTTCAAAATGATGTATTTTGAAGGGATTGTCAGATTTTTATGAAGCCTGCTTGGTATAGTTTCTACCTAAGTCCCTTACTGAAATTTGATTCCTGGTCAGATTGGAAAGTACTTAACAACTGCTTCGATGTGATCAATAATGCAACAGGAAATACCTTGTACATAATTATATATATATACTGGTTCAAATTTTCATAAAAAAAAATGCAGTCGTCATCAGCTATCATTATAAAGGTATCTCTTTTATATAATGTAGGAGTAATAATTTTATGTACATTGTAAATAATCCAGGACCTGATCAAGCCATGTCTTGATCACATTACATGTATTAGTAAATACTGAAATATGAGGAGGATTTAATTATTGAAAGCCTGTTACACAGCATAAACATGTTTACCTGTACAGGTGGAAAAATCACCTGTATCTGCAAAAACAGGTAAACTTACACACCTATTTATAGACAGACACATCAAGAATGTTCAGTAGTTTTCAAGGAATTCGAATAAATGCATATATCAACTGGTCACACTGTTTAACCAATCAATTTAATCATGTCCTTGGATATACCCTTGGAAAATTTGAGAGAAAAAATGTAAATCGACTCATTTTCTAAGTAAATGCATAAATTCACACAAAACATTTTGGAGAGAGATTCTTATGCCCAATCCTATATACTTTTTTTTTTTCTACAAAAAAAATACTTCAGTACTTACTTAATAATCAAACTTCTCATTTTTTAAATGTTTTGAATTAAGCACATATTTTAAGTCCCTATGAGATGAACCTTGTTTAAATACAATTTTATTTGAAGGTCATTATACTATTCGATGTCTGTTATCTGTATGTTTTTATTGTTTTGTTTACCATAAATTTCTGGTTTCTGTCCATAGGAGAACACATTAAGAACTGGCGGAAGCGATACTTTATCCTGCGTGAGGATGGATCCTTCCTTGGCTTCAGGACAAAGCCAGAACATGGACTCAATGACCCACTCAATGACTTCACAGTCAAAGGTACAGCTACAAGAAATTCTTGGTAGAGAAGGTGTTTCTAAGTTGAGATTACTTGTATCCGATCCTTTTTGTTGTATGACAATCATTAGGTTCCAGTAAGATTGTTAAAAAATTAAAGAACCATACAAATCTTTTCTTTTTTTTTGGAACATTAAAGAATCACATATTTGGCACATACAAAAATGTACACGTAGTGGCAAAATTGGGATTCTTTGTTCCAGAAAAAGATGGTATCAATCTAAAGATGACAACATCAACTATTTACAGACAAACAGTCACATTTTGCTAGTAACTACTGATTTCATCACAGGACTCTTAACACTAGACCACCACCACATAACCCTTAACACTAGACCACCACCACATAACTCTTAACACTAGACCACCATCACAACTCTTAACACTAGACCACAACCACATAACTCTTAACACTAGACCACAACCACATTACTCTTAACACTAGACCACCACCACATAACTCTTAACACTAGACCACCACCACATAACTCTTTACACTTGACCACCGCCACATAACTCTTAACACTTGACCACCACCATCATAACTCTCAACACTAGACCACCACAATGCACATAACTCTTAACACTAGACCACCACCACATAACTCTTAACACTAGACCATCACCTCATAACTCTAAACACTAGACTACCATCACAACTCTTAACACTAGGCCACCACCACATGACTCTTAACACTAGACCACCACCACATAACTCTTAACACTAGACCACCATCACAACTCTCAACACTAGACCACCACCACCACATAACTCTTAACACTTGACCACCACCACATAACTCTTAACACTAGACCACCACCATATAACTCTAAACACTAGACCACCATCACAACTCTTAACACTAGACCACCATCACAACTCTTAACACTAGACCACCACCACATAACTCTTAACACTAGACCACCACCACCACATATAACTCTCAACACTAGACCACCACCAGCACATATAACTCTCAACACTAGACCACCACCACATAACACTTATTAACACTAGCTATAGACCACCTTCAAATAACTTTCAACACTAGACAACCATCACATGAAAAATATAACTCTTAACACAAAATTCAACCACCATCTGATCACATACATTTTAACACAAGACCACCACCACATAACCCTTAATACTAAACCACCATCACATGACTCTTTAACACAAAACCACATGGAATGTCTGTCACAAATGATCATCATATTGGCACTTACAAGATACAGAATGTTCATTGCAAATATTGACAGGAAATAAACACCAGTTCGATGCTCACCAACCAATTGAACGGAGTTATACTAATTTTCTAAATGTTCTATACCAATCAAAAGTACACATTTATTCTGAAAATAAAATAATGTTTCCTCCATGAACACACTGTTAAATCAAATATCTACACTTACTATTTGGTTACAGACTGTCAGCTTATGCCCCAGGAGAAGCCCCGTCCTAACACATTTATAATCCGCGGCCTGCAATGGACAACGGTAGTGGAGCGCATGTTCTGTGTGGAGAGTGCTGACGAGCGTCAAGAGTGGATGGAAGCAATCCGCTCCATTGCTGCAAACATGAAAGGCACAGATGACGGAGGAGCATCTGTCTTTGATAAATCAAAAAAGAAAGTGGTAGGGTTATTAATCTCATTCGTAATAAAGTGCGTTTAACAATCTTAATTGAACTTTCACAAGCAATCCAGCGTAAGCAATTGAAGCTTTCCTGATAGACCATCCATTCTGCCAATATAATTTGTTCAGAGATATTTATGAGATGATATTCTTCAAACATGTTTAGCTGCGTCTTATAATGTTTTCACTTTGTAAGAATGTAACATCTGGAACATTCTGATCTATTACTTTTTCGATAACGCTGCACCTGTGTTGTAATCACCTTCTTTTAAATGATGATAGAATGGAGTATAAAGTTGAAGTCTACAGGTGTTGGTGTCGTTGAGAACTATATGACAACTCTAAATACCTTGTGCTCTACTTCAGACCTTGGATGACTTTGACTTCCTCAAAGTGTTGGGTAAGGGAACGTTTGGCAAGGTAATTCTGTGTAAGGAGAAGGCCAACAGCCAGCTGTATGCTATCAAAATCCTCAAGAAACAAGTTATTATTCAGAAGGTAGGTATCACAATCTTCTTATATAAATTTCAACATTGAAATCAATCTGTTAGCAAATTGTAAAATGTTTGTTTTATAACAACCCTGTTATAAGTTTTATAACAACCCTGTTATAAGTTTTGTAACAACCCTGTTATAAGTTTTATAACAACCCTGTTATAAGTTTTGTAACAACCCTGTTTTAAGTTTTATAACAACCCTGTTATAAATTTTATAACAACCCTGTTATAAGTTTTATAACACCTGTACAATAATTTCTATAATGAAGACACATTTAATAAGACAAAGTCATTGTTACTGGATGTACTCTTCCATTGTATCAACTATGACATCACAACTACATTGTATGACAACATTATGGCCTCACAGATGACCAATTGCATTGTGATGTCACATTAGAAAGTAGCACTGAGTCAAAATGTTGATATAATGGATTTCAAGACAGTCTGAGCGTCAAGGATGTTTTTTGTGAATATTTGCAACAGATTTTGGATATGTGATCAACAGAATTACCTTTATAATTAGTGTCCATATGAGATGCTCCCTATAGCTACATACTGCTTAACTTGTTTCCTATAACACATATGAAACTGGAAAATCATGTTATATCCTCTATTTAGTCCAATAATCATTATACAACCAAGGATGCAGCCACAAACTTAAACATCACAAAAAAACTATTTTGAGCATTGTATTTAAAATCAACACATAAGAAAAGGTGTTATTTTATCACTATATTTAACGTGGAGGATGAGTATGAGATTTTTATCCTACTGTGTAATACTCCTTGTTTTATTTTGCATTTTATTTTGTTCTCAGGATGAAGTGGCACATACTTTGACCGAGAACAGGGTCCTACAAACCACCAAGCATCCATTTTTAACGGTAAGTTGGGGTTGGTTATTCATACTCTCTTCACTCTCATGTCTTTAGAAGTATTAACTCATAAAATGTATCATTGTCATCAGATTTTTTTTTAGTTTGTTTACCATAAGAGTATACGTATCACTATACTGTTTTAGAAAGGTGGGTTTGGGGATCCACTGTGTTTTCATCAGATTAAATTTTTCAACTTATATCAGTAAGTTTCATTTTGATAATGATATTTAATTTTGTTACCATTGTCTTTTGCAGCAACTCAAGTATTCATTCCAGACACCTGACCGACTGTGTTTTGTGATGGAGTATGTGAATGGAGGAGAGTTGTTTTTCCATCTGTCCAGGGAACGAGTTTTCACAGAAGACAGAACACGGTTTTATGGAGCAGAAATAATCTCTGCATTAGGATATCTTCATGAAAATAATATAGTCTACAGAGATCTGAAGGTTTGTGTGAGATTCTGTTACTATAGCGAGACTGATATACTGATACACAATGACACATAAAATCAGAACTAAAGGTCGCTGTCAATATTAATTCTATAAGTTCACTGAGAGGCAATTTTTAACTCACCAGACTGAAAGAGTCAAATGGCCTTATGTTATGGCACCAAAGTCATCACCATCTATCGTCAACTTATCCTTTAAAATATTCCTACGGTAGTCCAGATCTTTCGTCAACTTATCCTTTGTAATATTCCTATGGTAGTCTAGAATGTCTCAGATGATTTCGACTAAGATTGGCCAGGACTATCTCTAAACCAAAGCCATTGCAGTTTTGTTTACCACAAGACACAAATTATAATGGACCAATATGATGACATCATAAATGATGTCAAACGTGATTTCCCTTTGGAAATTTGCAGATCTTATCTATAATTTTACATGTCTAAGTATAGAGCATATGAGAAAAGAATCTCAGACATGTTGCCTCTAAGTATGACTTTTACGAAACCTGCTGGAGATTTATAGAGGTCCTATGTACTAGAAATAAGTTTGAGATTCTTTTAGGTACTACTTACACCAAACATATAGTCATCTGAGGATATTCTTATTTAAAATTGTTCAAAGTTCTATTTCTAAAGCCGAAATCATTAAATATTCTGATGTCAGAATTCCATAATGTTGAATTATATCCTGTGCAGGGAACAGGAAAAAATATCTCATTCACCCCTGAAGACACATTTGAACTCTTCCAGTTAAAAGGTTGGAATAGTTCATTATGAAATTTCAGGGGTGATCGAGTTAAGACAGATTTCTTACTGATTCTTTTGTCTTATTACTATCTTCCAGTTAGAAAATTTATTACTAGACAAAGATGGACATATCAAAATTGCTGACTTTGGTCTATGTAAAGAAGAGATGTTTTTTGGTGCCAGCACAAAGACGTTTTGTGGAACTCCAGAGTACCTGGCACCAGAGGTAAGTAGTTTACACTGTCTATAGAAATAGTTGGTGGAGTACCTAGAACTACTAGTTAAAAGTTAATGACACGACTGATGCCTACATCCTCATAGGTCGGATCATAATCATGTGGAGGTCGGTGATTTGTGATATGAAATGGAGTGACTATATTAGAAACAGCTGGTCAATATTTCTTATATGACATCACTTAAATCGCCCATCTTAATGCGCTATTCCAAATGCAGGATTTGTGATGATTTTATTATGATCCATCTTATTTATTTCAAAAACAACAGAATTTCATATATATTATAGCAGTTGAGGACTTCTGTTACGGTGAATATGTGATTGTATGGACCTGAAAATTCATATTGACCTTGACTGTATCAGTTAATATGTCCTTTTTCGGTTAATACAACCACATGTTCACCTCAACAAAAGTCCATAATTGGTCAATATTTCACACACCAGGGTTTGTCCAGGGTACTACATCATCAGAGGTAAATATTAGATAAACCAACTTTTTCCTTCATCGTTGGTTGACTCATAATCATGAGTGAGGTGGTCATTTGGTGAATGTATAGTTTATGGATTGAAAAGAAATATTGTCTTCATCTTCATGTCTGTCAATATCGCATTTTCAGGTAAATATAGCCACATATTTTCCTCTAGAAAAGTCTATAATTGATAAATGTTTTTGTACATTAGAGTACCAAGTACCGAGATACCAGGTAAATATTTCCTACACGATATAGATCTACAAGCATGTATACAGATCTCAGTATAACTTATAAAACACAGAGATAAATATTTCCAAGCATGTACTCCAGTAAAATATATATGATTTGTCTTATCCCATCATCCATTTGTGGCTCATAGGTGCTTGAGGACAACGACTATGGCCGAGCAGTAGACTGGTGGGGAACAGGTGTGGTTATGTACGAGATGATGTGTGGACGTTTACCATTTTACAATCGTGATCATGACATTTTGTTTGAACTGATTCTTGTGGAGGATGTGCGATTCCCAAAGACATTAACACAAGCTGCCACATCTCTACTCGGAGGATTATTAATAAAAAATCCAAAGAAGAGGTAGGTGTGGGAGGAATTTAGAAATGCTGGATTTTTGCCTGTGTTTACTTATAGACTAAACGTGGAACAGGTGTCCATTGATAGTTCAGGCAGAACTACTATCCAGCTAAATCTGATAGTCATTACAAACTGCCATTCTATACAAAAATGTTGATTGCTTGTGGCAGCATCTTGAATCGTATGATTTTTTATGTAAAATTAATAAAAGCGTCTCTGATATGTATGTGGAGAACTCAACCGAGAATATTTCAACTGCGGTATGAATAACACTGAAACCATCACTAGATATGGTACAGGAAGTTATATGGTTATATTGTTGTGGTTGGTTCAATGGCAAATTTGTCAGCTATTCCAGCTGAGCTCTATCATAAACTAACTGGGATAATGAATGATGCATATTATTTCTCAGTATTTCTTATGATTAAGGGCCAATTAAGTCATTTGTACTCGTATAAAAAATGTAAATAATTTTCAAAGAAATATCGTCATTTTTTGTAGATTTTTATAATTTGTTTATTTGTTAAGCTGAAATAATTTCTAATGGACATGGGTAGTGTTTGAAGAGTCATTTCTCACCTGTATATGTCTAAGAGTGTGGATGGATTGTCTATATAAACTCTCCTTTTCAGACTTGGTGGTGGAGAAGCTGATGTAAAGGAAATCACAGACCATCCATTTTTTGCGCCAGTTAAATGGGATAAACTGATCGAAAAAGGGGTAAGCACTGTGTACTATTATAATCATCTCCAGTATCTACCTCATGTTACAGTATCTCCCATCCCTTCCTTATTCCCTCGCTTGTACTACCAATGGGGAATATGAAATATGTTTCTTAGTTCGTCAGTCAGGGTGTCACTTTGTCTGAGGCATATTTCATACTCTACACAATGGCCAAATTTTATAGATGGGGTTAACTCTTGGGACGGCAGAATGTCGGATATTTAAATCCGGTTTTCTGACCAACTACATACAGAGCTGTAGCTCTTTACTCAAAGTGCGTCAGTTTGTTGATAGACATATTTTGAATAATATGCCGCATACAGTTGCCAAACTTTGTACTTCTTTGTCACAAACTGCAAATAGGTTTTGTGCCTCGATACATACAGAGTTATTGCTCTTTGTTCATATTTGATGCAAGTGTTTTTATAGTATCTGCCATCCTTATCTCATATCACAGTATCTCATGTTAGTGTATCTCATATCACAGTATCTCATGTTAGTGTATCTCATGTTACAGTATCTGCCATCCTTATCTCATATCACGGTATCTCATGTTAGTGTATCTCATATCACGGTATCTCATGTTAGTGTATCTCATATCACAGTATCTCATGTTAGTGTATCTCATGTTACAGTATCTGCCATCCTTATCTCATATCACAGTGTCTCATGTTAGTGTATCTCATGTTACAGTATCTGCCATACCTATCACATGTTACAGTATCTGCCATACCTATCACATGTTGCAGTATCTGCCATACCTATCACATGTTACAGTATCTGCCATACCTATCACATGTTACAGTAGAAAATGGGCTGTTTTGAACAAGGATTTGAAATGAAATAATGGTTAACTTAAAATTTTCCAGTATTTTGTGCTATTATTATTTTTGACAGAGATAAAATACATGGGCTACATTCGCGTATCCCGGTTGAAACGGTACGTGTGGCGCAGAAAATTTCCACTATAAGCTAACACACTTGGGCCAATCTATAAGCAGAGCTAAAAATGCAGTTTCGGAGAATAAAAAACAATGTCTCAAGGATATTATGCCCTTCTCTCATGCGTCCACTGAATTACATAACGTATCTTAAAAACTACATGTGGCTTGACATTGTTTTAGAAAGAAATAACGCAAACTGGCAATAGTCAGCATTTTAGTTTCGGCCAGGTACGTCTGGACACGTGCCAAATTTTCCTGAGGTCGGCCTCAGTTCAGATCTGTACCTGTCATTTTCTTTACAGGTTCAACTGTTTCAACCGGATACGCGAATGTTCCCTTATTTTATCCCCTAATGTAAAAGTGAAAGTAATCTTGCACTCTGAAGAAAAGCAATGCATTTTGAAAAACTAACTTCATACTTACCATTGCAATAGTTCATGTGTATTTTCTAATCTGAGACTAATTCCTATTTAATTTTAAATGGATATAAAGGTTCAGTTTGTTTTGGAACATATATTCCAGGCCTGATATCATATTCTTGGTTCATTTGGTCGATTCATTGCATTTTGATAAGAAACAAATATAGAATGTGATTGTTCCTCCCTGTCAGATTTTTTCCCGATAATATTACTATAAATTAGTACTGTGTATCTGTATAAATACTATAAAATACCTTAGGTACTTCAATAGGTTGTAGTCTCACTATAAATACATGTACTTTATAACAGATACTTAGTACTTCTGTATATCTTATGTTATACATACTAGAAGTTAATACTCTATAACAAATTGTTCAGTATGTTATTTTCGCTTGTAATTTTATTATTGTTATGTTAAATTGAACTCGTACTATAATTCAGTTCTATTACAGCTTATTTTCATGCAGTGTAACTTTCACATTATTTGGATAAATGCAAAATTTTGCATTGTTGAAATGGTGACTTCAGAAATGACTTACAGTGTACATGTTTGTACTATTACTTGATAAGAAATGTTCAACTTGAATTTTAAATTTTAGGTTCACGTTATTGCAAAATTTGTACTGCTGTGAAAACTTCCCTGTGTACAATGTTAACTAGTGTTGGACCTCTTTAGTTGTATGTTAACAGTCAACTTTATGTATTTACTACACGTTTGTTCACCTCTCGTCTCCTTTATGATTAAGTTTCCTGTTTTCAAAATCTTTGATATACATTTGTATCGGTGTGTTATTTGTGTATCTTCCATGAGTATTTTCAGGTGGTGGGTAATTCTCCCTTTTAATTATAACGTCAGGTCTTTGTAGATTTTGAAACTCCCAAATTTGAACATATAATAGAATGAGTTGAGATTGTCCATCAGCTGCAGTGCCATCTTTGTTGTGGCCTTTATTAAGAAAACCCATTACAGAGCAGGTGTTATTGTGTGCAGAATGTGAACAAGTGCTAGTTATAAACTTGTGTAATACACATAATATAATTGACACTCCTTGTTCAAACTGTCACATTATCATCATGTCCATTTTGGCCCCGTGACATACAAATGTAAATATTCAAGCCATGCCATACAATAGTTGTTATGACTGGAATTGATCCAACAGACACAATTACAAAAAATCTGTAAAATTTCACATATATTCTTGTACTCTTATTATTTGCAAGAATTCAACATATTGTTCTCCAGAAGTTCAAGAAAACATTTTTAATAAAATTTTATATATCATGCATCATGAAATGATGGTTGATTGGAGGTTTAAAGTATCAGTTCTGCATCATGATCTTACTGATAATTCCTAGCTATATACTATAAGTATATTCTGTTGCCATCATGTAAATCATGCACATTATAAGCTTGTGCCGTTGGATTGCATTGTTATAGAAATATGTACCGTGCCGTCATCATGTTTCTCCATTTCAGCTTGGAGGTCACTTGAGCTTACGATACATTATCCCAGGCACCAATATCCAACCACACTATATATATATTCCATGATGGTGCTTCCTCTTTCCTAACCGGAATGTTACCATTATAATGTATGGGGAAGTCCCGTTGTAGTCTCCAGTCTAGATTGGAATGACAGCATGTTTAGATATACCTGCCCCAGTCTGGGCTTCCTCGACAAAGAATGGCAGATAGATACAGGAAAAGCATCTTTAAAAAAAATCTGTTTGTCTATAGTAGCAAACTGTAGAGTAGGATTATCTTCTCCCTACCAAGTTAGAATTGCCTCCCTTTTTTTAGAGGTGTAGTGTGGAATGATGACCTCCCTTTGCCTTAGCTTTACTTATATAAAAAAATGAAAATGTTAATCTTTCTTAGAATTTTTATCACAGAGTTTAAGTCAAATAATAACATACTTGATATCATGTATAGTGGAATTTTCAATACTAATTGGAAAAGATTTTGTACATACACACACATATGATATTCTCTGATCTTTTGATCATGAAGAGGATAAAACACAAATTAATTGAAATATCAATTGTATGAAAACCTTGGCCTAGTTCCCCCCAAAAAATAATGACACAATGAAATTAATCACTGTTTCAGTTATAGAAGAACTTTATATAGGGATATTTTATACTTACCAATTAAAATTAAAAACATTAGTTTACATTTTCAAACCAATATACATTTTGTGTATGGCATGATTTTTTTCCCTGAATCTTTTCAGTTTAGATAAAATTTCTTGCATGATTGCATGGTTAACGTGTTCTTTTTTGTGATTTTATTTTATTTTATTTTTTCATTTTGGTCCTTAACTTCATCATTATACATAGTATTGTAAGTCTGATCAGTGGACTTGTTGCTAGTTATGTACAAGTTTATAATTTCATAAAGTTTTAGAATATATTGTGTATATATAAGCTCACTCATCAAGTCTAACCTGCTGTTTTATAGTCTGCTGTTTTTAGCTACACTCTCTTGAGAGATGATTTTTGTGTCGCCTACGACGGATGTCGTAAAGACACATAGGCGTTGCTTTTCCGACGGCGTCGTCAACAATGTTAAGGTTTTGCATTTAGCTCTGTTTCTGACAAAGCTACACCAACAAAACCTCGATCATAGATGTAGCATGGGTAGTGGAGCCTACTGCACTAAAAACTTTTCATTGATTTCTGCATTTTTTTGGTAAAAACCTCAAATTTATATATGTATCATGGGATGTATAGCTGAATGCATTACACTCTTTACTAGCATTTTAACGATTTCTGTATTTTTTTGCTAAAAAGCTTCAAATTTCTGGACTTAGAAAAAAAACCTCAACGTTAAGGTTTTGCGTTTAGCCCTGTTTCTGACAAAGTTACACCTCAAATTTCTGGACTTGGAAAAAACCTCAACATTAAGGTTTTAGCGTTTAGCTCTTGCATATTAGGCTCTTTTTGACAAAGTATAAGAGCTAGACCAACCAAACCTCAATCATAAATGTATCATGGGTAGTAGAGCCTACTACTCTATAAACATTTCATGGATTTCTGCACTTTTTCGGCTAAAAACCTGAAATTTCTGGACTTTTAAAAAAATCAATGTTATGATTTTGCGTTAAGGTCCGTTTCCTTATGTACTATGTCAAATGTTTATTATATAGACAAAGCGGGACAGGCGACACATTAATAATTACGCGTAATTCTTGTTATCTTAAGTGGCAATTTTTTGTGTGTATGAAACAGCCAGGGTTAAATTTTGATCATCTTAACTTAGCAATTGCATTTGTGTAATCAAAAGAATCAATTTATTAGCATTTTTTTGTAATTGATGAATGATATTAATATTTTGAAAATGTTTTGTATTGATCATTTCAAATATTTTGGATATGTTCCTAAATTTGTATGTACAGTTACATATATATATGTAGCTACAGACCAACACCAGACAGTGCAGTTGACCAATTTTAACAATGCCCCTTTATCAGACATGTACCAAAGGCTTTCTTTATCTTTTTCACTTTGTCCACATCTCATCATCACAAATATAGAGCTTTGCCTGCTCTCTCCCTCCCCTACACCTTCTCCACCCTGCTCTCTCCCTCCCCTACACCTTCTCCACTGTGGACATATTGAGTACTCATCAGCC